TATGCTCTGAGCATAAAAAATTCCATTAGTTCTGATAAAGTAACTTCCATTAGTTTTGGTGTTTACTGAAAAATTTCTAATACTGTTGTCTTAAATGTAAGTATGTATCAGATGAGAGGCCAAGAGAAGACAGAACAAGCAATGCTCATTTTCCACAACCAATTTTTAATGTGTCTAGCAAGAACTTGAATAAAGTAACAGTAGATAACATTCTACCTGCTGCTTTTGCTCAAACCTGTCCACTTACTAGTGGCAGAATCCTATTCTGCATTATTCACCAACGTATCAACCGTGGTTCTTTTTTACAGGCTATTTCAAGTATAAAATCTGTACTTAATGCTGACATGGTCCAAGAATACTGATGCATGGTACATCTGAAGTAAATTCAACTTTGCACAAGAGATGCTGTTTAACAGCTATCACTTTCCAACCTCAAATCACTCAAAGAGCAGTCATGACCCCTTCCTTAGAACCTCTGCCAACAACATGCTCAGCTGAGATTAAGTTTGTCATCTCCAGTTCCAACTTATCTAAAGTTACAGGACCAGAAGAGAGATTTTCATTTTTATAATCACAAACTTGAGGTGATGACTACAAAGTAGTATGACAACACAAATGAAAATAATTATTATTAAAAAAAAAAGATACCCAGCTTTTCTTTTTAGAACTGTTTTAAGTTTTAGATCTCTCTTTTGGCTCACACAGGGGGAAGCCAGAAGATACCAGCTAAGATTAAAAGTTGTGAAAAGCAGTGTGCTATGCACAGATGGAACCCTTCTATTGTTTCTTCCCATTCTCCCACCACCACATGATGTGCGTGAGAGGCCCCACCACATTAGTTTGCCAAGCTTTTAGCACTCATTTCTGCAAAGTATCTTCAGTGCACTGCAAATGAGAGCCTTTAAGTGTACAGTAATACCAGAGGCCAAAATCAGAGTATAAGGCACTCAGTTCAACAGGAGCCGTCAGCAATACTGCAATTCCAACTTAAAAAAAAAGCGGGAGCCACTGCTGTGCTCTGGTAATCCAGAGAACTCCTTATTTAGAGAAGTTCTCACAATTGGATGTGGCAGGTGGGAAAAGAGGATCAGAGTGGTTTTCCTGTTTTACTTGGGTATTTTAAAGCATGTTAGCTGATTGTACTTTTTTTCTGTGTTGGCAGTGGCCAAGCAGAAAGGAAGGAAGGAGGGTTTTCATTTTGTCCCAATCCATCCTTGATTAGGGCTTCTCACCCTAGCACATCCTTAGGGTGAGCCAGCTGGTAAGATGCATACAAAGGGGCCCATATTTACTGACGCCGTCATCTTTGACCTCTCACACTTAGAGTAAGCAAACAGTTCATAACATTTATTTGAGGAGCTACTTTGTCTTAACAGCCAGTATTCCATACAGCGCCATCGCAGCACACCTGAAATACAAAAGTGGAGCTTTCAGAAGGCTGCACATCTCCTCCTATACAACGTGCTTTCCTATACTGAGAGAGTAGGAAACCTCAATCATATTTTCATACATGTGACACACATTTTTCACATGTGACCAAGAACTGCCCTACAATTCTGGACTCTGTCTGTCAATATAACTTTGCTTTCTGTGGATTCATATCTGAGTCATGAGGCATCTGCCAACACTTCAACACAGGCATTTGTAACAACTTCAATAAGAGGACAGATTATCACTGAAAATTAACAGTATTTTAAAATACTTTCTCATTCACCTAATCCCCATCACAGAGCCTAATATGGCCTCAAAACTTCCCAGACTGTTCAACTCTTTAAGCTTCTCAGTTTATTACCCTACGTCTAGTTTTTTCCTCTAAAACTGCACCTCTTTCCTCTTTTGTACTACAACTGTACGAAGCTGCTTCCTCTTAAAATTAGAGCAGTATTAAAACCTACATATTAACTTCTTCTGTATCACTACAAAAAGTATGCAGTTCTTTATTCAGTTATCCAGTCTTCTGCATTCCCAATTCTCAAGAAGTTACCAGAATTTCCCAAAACAGGGCTGCTACATTTATTAATAAGAAAGTTTAATGTTTATGAAAGGAACTGCAGCATTCTGTAGCTCTTGCTTCTTTTTCCAGTTTGCTTTCCTTTCTAGGAGCCACGTCTGCTTTTGCAGATCTTTGCTAAGAAAGGAACAGTAAAGACAGATTTCTTGTTACAAGTAATTTGGCATTTAGTGAATATATTGAGGAGGAGATTATCAACTGAAGCTGTCAGGCAGGCAGCTGATCATCTGGAGGAGACTCAAAAGGAGAGCATGGAGACTGTCAGCATGCCTTGTCCCTACGCCACGTATCCAACCCATGGGTGAGCAGACCACAGTCAAGAGCTATGGTCACACAACGAGCTCTCACTAAAGCAGCACTCTGAACACATCGCTGGATCTACTGAATCAAACAGTTGCTACAGGCCTCCGATTTCTCATGCTTGTAGACAAGAATGAAAGGCTTGCCTAAACAGCAGAAAGATCTAATAGGATATCAAGGGCATAGATAAAATTAGCTATAACTCCTACTTTCCTAAAGCCACAGAAAACATACCAAATTTTAGTAATAATACATAGAAAACTTTTTGGAGTCTAAAATAATTGTATAAAAATATTTGTCAGTGTATTCATTCATGATTTGCACAACAATGAGTTTACACCTCTGTTGTGAACAAGACAAGAGTGCAGTCACCCCAATTAACCAGAGCTTGTTCCACATAGGTCAGGGCCAAGCTGCCCCTGATGTTACAGATGGGAAAGATTGGAAAAAAAAGGAGACTAAAGCATGGATTTCTTGTTTCTCACTGACTAATTCCAGGCTTTCCTCTTGAAAAATACAAATTCACTTTTGCCGATGTTGAATGCCCTTGCATCCATTTACCTGAACTACAGTTTAAAGGAACCTCCCAGGATGGAAGCCTTCTCCATTATAGCATACACAATAAGCAACTTTTGTTATTCAGACTGTGCTCTCGTGGTCCCTTTAGCCAGTTTACCTGAAGTCAGCACTTAGAAGCAAGTGCTGAAGCTATTAGATACTACTCAGCACCTTCTGCAATATATTCACAAACAGAAATCTGCAATTCTATCAATGTATACAAAATAAGAAGTAAAAAAAGTTAACGTGGCTTGACGATCATCCTGTCCAACTTCTAGATATTTCTAAATACTAAGCAACATTGCTCCATTTTTCTTCTCTTACCCAGTAAGAATCTCTGTCTTCATACTGCACGCCTTTCTTTAGGAATCACAAATCTTTATGCAACTCTGATGATTTCTAAATAGGCACCACAGGAGTCACACTGATTCCTTTTGGAAATTTTCAAGGAACTAGTTTAAACTTAGATTGAAATACAGGTCTTACTTCAAGGGTCAAAAAACTTAAACCATGCTTTAACTCAGTTTTAGAAAGTATAAGAAACTCAAAAACCAAGCACAATCATTTTCCTTCTTCTGGTGGTGAGTTCCCAGTACATTTAGAATAAAGAATCCAAGTTTTCTTCTTCTTATGATTGTAGCCCACTAATCTGGCTGTCTAATGAAAAAAATACCACCAGATGTTCATTTTCTATTGAGGTTCTGCATCATTCTTTGGGTTAAAAGGTCCAGAATGCTCATCAGAAGCAGAGTATTTTGATCCCACAGGAAAAGAACAGTTCCCTTAAAGAGGGGCCATACAGAAGTGGAAAAGTGGGATGTTTGTCTGAGCAGATGGGAGTCTTCAGCAAGATATTTGATTGAAACCAAATGTACATAACTCCCATCTAGGCACATCTAATGTAATAATAATTCAGAAAAGAAAAGCAGTTTCCTCATCCAAGTAGAATTATTTAAACAACTTTAACTATGCAGAAACACAGAAGACAGTTAATTTCTGCTGCAGAAGTAACAGTCTACATTGCTCAAACTCAGCACGAGACATCTTCCACCAGTGTGCATTATGCTGCATGGAAACTAGTACTGCAGCCTTTCTTCCCCTGGAGGCAGTCTTTCTCCCCTTGGACAACTCCTTCAACTCTTGAGATCTGGTGAGATAAAACACTACAGCATAAGAGGCCACAAACGCATTCAGAAAACTTGAGTCTGAGCTGAAAGCACTATCAAGGCTACTGTTAACTAAATCACGTAGATGCAGCTAGAAAAACACTGCTTCTCAGCTGTTTTTTTCTGCCACCAGAGTTCCAGATATCCGTTAACTCCTTTGGTATGTGGAGATACAAGCTCTGCATCACTCACTGTGTCAGGCAGGATGAACTATAAATGCTAAACGCAAGTATCAGATTTTGTTTAACATAGATCTTTTGTCATGTCCTACAAATACCTTTAGTAGCAATCTGATATTCAAGTGATATCAAGTGCTGACAACGACACTGAAACAAGCAAACTAGAAAAATGTATATGAATCTGCTCCAGAAGATAAAGTGTATTATTTTAACTATCTGAACTCTATTTGTTTGTTTATGAAACATACCTGAGGAACACAGCTATCACTTGTTAATCTAATTTTTAGGTCTCAGAAGCTACACTCAGGTGAGCTCACAAGATAGTTTACAAAGACATAGGTTTGGCTGCAGCCATTACAAGCAATACTGAAGATAGCTTCTTGCACTGAAATTGCTTTGGTTTTATTTCAAAACTTTTTTCCCTTCTTCAAACACCTTACTCCTATACAGGCAGCAGAGCCTTACCACATTCCTGAAGGCATACTGCAGGTTTCACCAGTTTACGGTAAAATCAAACCCATGGATTTAATCAGTTCCTTGTTCTGAGACTTTAGTTTGATTTGTACAGCTTGTGATCAGAGACTACAGAAGCTCATTTTGTACAGCATATCCTTTTTAGCATGCTTGATACGTGATCATTAGTGGTCTCCTAAAATGAGTTGTTAAATCTTGCTACCCCTAAAGCCAAGTGAAAGGAATCAAAATAAGAAAGCCCATCAACTTTCCGTTTTCTGAGTAATACTTCATTTGGTCAAGAGTTACACTGGAATTTACTTAGTTACTTACATCCAGGGAATCTTCATTGACCAGGATGAGAGACATGCTCTGTGAAATGAGTCTGCAAGAGTACCCTGCGAAAGGAATGAAACAAGAATTAGATTTTTAGAGAAGTATTACAGTTGAGCTCAATCTTAAAAGGAAGTTCTATGTGTTAGATTGGGATTTACATCTGAGCAGCAACTCCCATCAGGCAGGGCTACTGGAAGGTTAAGGCCACACTCCAACTTGACAGGTTTATTGGCAATGGAGACTCCATTTTATCTGCAATTCCAAATACACCACTTAACCAAAGAAAATACAATATTCATTAGAGATATGCTATATCTCTACAGTAAAAATAATCATTCCTATACATAAACTTCATTTATCCTTATGAAAACTGTATGACCTTCAGCACATTACAGGAATGGATCTGAAGTCAGCTGCAGCTACATCGTACAGCTGGAAGCACACACACTGCATCAGCACACATCACTGCATCACACTCCACTTAGCCTCAGCACGTCTGTGGGGTTTTAGTGTGGAAGGTGGTCCTGAGTTTCACCAAAAAACACAGTTCAGGTGTTCAGGGGTGAGCCCCACCAGCTCCTGTAGGCATCAAGAAATTGTACTAGACTGTTCTTCACGTGGGACTGGGAAGCCAACAAACAGCACATCATCACAGTGCAGAGCAGCACTCAGAATGCAGTTTAACACATTCAGCAGGACACCATGATTCAAATTAAAAAAAAAAATAAAATACTGAAAGTAGAAAAAACCCTTATTTTTGTAAGAGCTAAAGATTGCAGCACTGCTTAATAACACCGACCCAGTAGTTCTTCCATCATGTGACTGTCACTGAGATGATGAGCCACCCAGGGTATACATACATGGAACTAACAGAATAAACAGTGTAATTCCATCACTGTTAATGAGAAGAAGCAAATCAAAAGTTGCAGACTGATCCTACTGCATTCTCAAAGCACATGCGAGTTCTCTTCCAAATGGCACTGTCATGTGGCTTCATAAAGCACAGGTCTATTTATCTATTGAAACATTAACCATATGCCTCATTGCTGAGCTAAGTCACGCAAGAAAAGAAAATATAATCAAACTGTTTTGCAGTTCTACCATACTTTTGCAACAAAAAGAATCACAGAAAGTTCAAGAAATAATGGTTGTGAAATGAGGCCTACAAAAGGGTTGTGGGATTTTTTTTCTTGTCCATTTACATTTCTTATATGAAGGAGTATACTACTACAACATAAGAGTAATGTTTCTAAGGGGAACCACTGCAAGTAGAACCACAGTCAGTATAAAAAGATTAAGACTCTCTTTGTATCTCCCATCAGCAAGAGAAAATTGAGGCATGGATTTGTTTTCTATGAGATTTTTGGTTCGAATGGAAGGCCATACAGACTCGTGAACTGCAATGCAAATCATTTCTTCAGGCTGCAATATTTTTTATAATTGGGCTAGTTTTCTAGGTATAATCCAGGGCTGACATGCCTGCATCAATGACTTCTGTCAAGAAAATCCCTCATTTTTCTTTGTAAAAGGCATAATTGCATCATACGGTCACCTTCAGACACTACATATGATTACCTGCAGAAGTTCTGTTTCTATTCCATTTTCACAGCTGTGCAGAATATGAGTATCAGATGCAGCCTTACAGAAACGTTATCATCTTAACTGTATTAAGGTTTACTTTTTGCTTTACAGAAAGATAGAGAACGGCATGGAAACCGTTGGGAAAGAGGTGAAATACATGCCAGTGAGATGCAACCTGCAACACGAAAGCTTTGCAGACAGCCTATGGCGGTGAAATTGTCTTCTAGGGAGTAGCACAGAATTGAGAAAGGAAGCCACAACAGGTACAGACAAAACACTGATGTGAGAAGTCAGTTCAGAGTTTGCCATTTTTGAGAGTTAGTCCCAGGCTGAAGAACTACTTCCTTATTTTTACTGGGGAGAAAAAGAGGATATTACAAACTTAATCATTTCCCTCCATGCCAGGGTTATTCTTTCCCCAGAGAACGGCAATAACCTCACGCAGCAGGCTGTTACAAATTCAGTATAACTAATTCAAATGCATTTTCTAGGAGCATTTGATTGGAATAGCAGCTGCAACAGCAAGCTGCAGTTTCTAAACTGCTGCTCATTGCTTCATTTTAAGTTTTTCAAATCTAGCAAGATGCCATTTGACAACTGGAGCTAGAGAAAAAACTCTGGAAAATGCTAACTTGGTCTGACTTGGAAGTCACAGAGTCAGAAGAGACCATTTTGTGCATTGTCATCACATTAAACAGGAGTGAGATCAAGCTTAGAATAGGAGGGTGTAAGTTATGCCTAATGTTTTACAGGAGATCTATGCATAATGCACAAGTTTAGGACTATGAAGATGTTAAAGTCTAGCATTAATATAAACCAAAATCTGGAAATCATAAAGTTACATGGGAATCTTGTAGTTCTATTTTATATAGGAAGTTTCATAATAGTTATTTCTGGCAGAAATAACAAGACAAACAAAAACAGGCTCTCTGAGATCAGGGCATATTTTTGTCAATGCTTTTGACTTGATCAACTGCTGGCTCAAAGCCAGATATAAAATGTCAATCGACACTTGTGAATTGCTGTCTGGGTCTTAAACTTGAAAGTCTAACTAAAAGCCCACGGAGCAGATGAATCAAGTGCTTCTGGGACTCGTTTCCCTTCAAGTATCCTGGGAGAAAGACTGCTTGAACTGGAGTTCAAGATCATAGCCCACAGGCACACTCACACTGCAGGCATACAGAATACATCTGAGGCAAGAACACTTATCTTCCGTGTTTACAGAGGACACGTATGCCCTGCTCCAGCTTCGCTGTGGGACACAGACAAGCTCACTGGCATTGCTTCAATTTCTCCAACTGAAAAAATGACAGAAGTATTCCAGGAGAGGCCTGAAGAAAGTAAGGAAAACAGAAAGCAGCTGCACACATAGATGTGGCTTCATGACTTTCAGGTTGCACGCTCACTATGATGTGAAGATACAGAGTCAAGGTAAATGAAATGAAGGCATGCAGAGGCATTGTGGGTGACTCCCAGCTTATGGCTACTAAAAAGATTTTAGGGCCTTTCATATGTGCAACTAGCTTAGCACAAGTTATTGGCTAGAATGCATCAGTTCAGATTTCCTGGGAGCCTACCAGGATGGTGCTAAGCACAAGTCTGTCACAGATTTCAGAGTAAGAGTTACTGAAAGGCAAAGGAAATTCAGATTCTGCAGATTGTTTTAAGAGAATTACGTTGCCAGAAGAACACTGCCAAGCTTTCTACAGCTCTTTGCAGAGACTGGCTAATGACAGCTTCAGCAGCTAAAAACAGAAAGCAGACTGTATGTCATGCTTGAAGACATTTCTGAAACCAGAACTCCTATTTCCTACACTAAGTTGTAATGTCTGATCAGTATTGAAACCCATCATAAACACACTCATTCTGCAAAACTGGCACACAACTGAGTGGAAGGCATGCAACCACCCCACAGCAAGGTGAAGCATTACTCAAATAAAAAAGTCAATAATACAATTAAAAGACAACAGTCAAACAAGCAAACTCAGGACCAAAGAATCAAGAGCAAACTGAAACAAAGTATTTCATCTCCTTAGGGTGGCTGCCAAGAGTTGAAGACGACCTAAGTACATAAGCATACCCATAGCATAAGCAAGAGACTGTAAGCATCATTGCCACGCACCATGAGGAACTGAAAATAGTTCTACTCCCAAGATTGCATACAATACCTGAAATGTAACTGTACATGTGGATTGGGTCTTAAATTACAAACAGCATTCTGTAAGCTAAGATCATAGAATCAGCAAAGTTGGAATACATTAGTAAGTTTGAGACATAAGAATACCCATCTTGTGCCTTGACAAACAATCCGTATTAAACTATCCATATATTCAATAGCAACAGTATTCTATCAAGACTACAATTATGATATACTTGACTAGAAGATGCACCAAAGTGACAGCATGAGTAGTTATTCAAGTATCCACCTACTTTCACCAACAAATCTTGCTATAAGTTGTACGTTATACCCATTTTTCTCCCATCATATCCCTAACTGTACTGAAATCAAGTGAAGGCAGTCCATAAGAATGACTAACTGTGAAATAAATTGAGATATAATGCACAGTAATACTAAAACATTATAGACTGACTGAGCCCTCTACTTTCAGTAAAAAGAAATATCTTCTTTCTTCTCACAAAAACTGCAGTTAGCCAAAAGCTAAATCTTTTGTGCATTAAAAGAAGCTGCATATCATAGCATGCCTTGGGCTGGAAGGGATCCCAAGGATTATCAAGTTCCAACCCCCCCATCGCAGGCAGAGCCACCAACCTCCAGATCTGGTAATAGACCAGGTTGTCCAGGGCCCCATCCAACCTGGTTTTGAACACCTCCAGGGACAGAGCATCTACAACTTCTCTGGGTAGCCTGTTCCAGCACCTCATCACTCTCTCTGTAAACAGCTTCCCTTGACATGCAATCTCCCTCCCCCCTTGTGCTTAAAACCATTCCTCCTTGTCCTATTACTATCTACCCAAGTAGAAAGTTGATTCCCCTCCTCTTTATAATTCCCTTTTAAATACTGGAAAGCTGCAGAGGTCTTTTCACAGCCTTCTCTTCTCCAGGCTGAACAAGCCCAGCTTCCTCAGCCTGTCTTCACAGGGGAAGTGCTCCAGCCCTCTGATCATTTTTGTGGCCCTCCTCTGGACCCTCTCCAGCAGCTTCACATAGCCTGACATTCAGTGCAAAACTTTCATTTCAGAATTCCAAATTCTCCAAATGAAAGGCTTCCACAAGCCTATCAGCTACCAAGGAGCCAGTCTATGAGTACAAATCAGGCCTGTTTTTGTTTTAAAAACCCACACATCACATCCACTGTCTAACCTGCTACACCTCAGACAAACGTTATGTAACCAAAAAGAATACCTATGTTGAGAGCTGTTTCCTGCTTGTCCCCTGTCAGAATCCATATCTTAATTTCTGCCTTCATTAGTGTGGCTATTGTTTCAGGAACACCTGCTTGCAGGCGGTCTTCAATGGCTGTGGCTCCAAGAAGCAGTAAATCCTGAAAGAAAGAATTTGAAGGATTGGTTTCTTAGGATGAATCTCTGTTTAGAATACTCTAAAAACGGGGAATTAAAAACACGTTGTGCCTCATTGCTAATACAGCTTTTTGACAAGCAGTACATACTCCAGGAGGCTTTTGGTGTGCCTCTTCTACTTCCCCAGCACACAAATCACATTTCAGGATGTACAGAATGGAACCCAGCGTTTACGATCAGAAAGTTGGCAGAGTTTCAAGAGCAGTTAATTGAAGTTAAACAGCTCCAAAGCTATCCTGTGGATGAACATGTACACTAGAATACTCAGTAATCACTGCAGCAACATGATGAGTGGCCACAGATTATGTTCCTTAAGCTCACAAAACGAAAGTCACCTGCCATCACATCATTGAAACTAACTTCCCTCCTGTAAAACGTGCACACAGAATGGATACAATCAAAGCAAAAATTATTCCAACTATTTATGGATATAATCACCACATCGATGTAATAGAAGTGGTATGGACATTAATCAGTCCAAGTATCCGTAGTCTAATACAGATGTGTGCCAGAAAAGAATGTCTCACACAACCACTTAATACTACAGAATAAGCCATATTCATATGCAATTGCAGAGCGATTGCTCGAAGAGATTTGGCAACATTACAGGAAAAAAAGTCAGGCTGACAGAAATACCAAAGAAATACACCTTGTCAAAAGGCATAATCCAGTTACCCAGTTTGAACATTAGAAGTATTTTTAATGATTGCTTAGACATGCAAAAATGTTCAATTTAAAAGAAATGGATATAAATTGAGCTTAGTTATATGCCCCATTTCAGGAACTGAGCAGAGAGCATAACAACTTCTCATGTTTGCAAGCACTACTTTTTTTTTTAATTAGCAAAAACAGATGAAGAGAACATTACAGCAGTTCTTGCTTGTATTTATCTATGCATGTATAAATAACTGAAGGGGAAGCTGCTGTCCATACAGGCATGTAACCAGACATTAATTAATGTAAGCCTTGACAACAAACAAGTTTTGTTAAGATGTTCAGTAGGTAAAGGCAGTAGTATGAACTCCCACAAGCCATTTTCTTTGAAATCCCTTTGAGTTTTGGTAAAACATTCCTCCAATGAATACAATGTCGCATTTGAATGTAACAAACACAGAGCAAGTATGTAAGTGCAACTTGTCTTATGTTCCCAAATTTACCTGTTAAATGATTGATTACACATTAAAGCACAGTGCTGGGAATGGCCAAAGCCAGGAGCAAGGAGTTACTATTCATTGCATCTGTTGAAACCCTCTCAGCCAATTTATAGGTATCCAAAAAGACAGCTGAAGTTTGTCCCCACACACACACACCTTACTACAATCCAGTCACCTCAGTCAGACTTAAAATACCACTCTTACTTAAAGTCTTTAAATGCAAAATTAGCATGTTAAAACAGTTATTTGATACTAAATCTCAGCTTATTATCTAGGAAAAAAAAAAATAAAAATTCCTTATACTAGAGAATTAACCAGGGAAACACAAACTCTGAGAAAAATCTAAGTTTCCAGTACAATTCCTTGCTCACACCCTGACCAGAAAGTAAACTAACATGAAAGTCAGTGTTTTCCTTCCAACATGGCGCCACAAAGTTCAAAACTCCAAATCAAAAACCTACTCGTGGCTGCCCATTTTTCAAGATGTTAAATTATGAAAGGAGGCAGAAGGTAGACGGCAAAAAATGTTTGAAGGATTGAGAAAACATCCTCAAGTTAAAGAATCAGCCCCATGTTAATGGGTTGATCACCCACAACAGTTTTTCACTTGTGAAATCAGTAAAATATGAAAGCAAAGTGCAGGAAGGCAAAAAGCTACATAAGCCTTCAAAATCAGTGCTCAGATAACAACACTGTTACTGATCAGCCAACAGAAAATGACCATTAGACATTTTGAAAAGTAAGACCTAATCTTCAGCTACCACCTCATATTGAGTTGCTGGAGCATTTCTCTTACTCCATTAAAGCTGGCTCCCATCCTAGTCTCAGTCTTCTCCCCTGTTCTACCCAAATAACTTGAATAACCAATGAAGAGGCCTCTGGAATTTGAATTGCACTGTTAATATAGCAATATTATTAAAGCTAATAACAAGTCTTCAAAATAAACCACTAAACAAAAATCAGTAAAAGACTCAAAACAAGAGGGAAAGAACATGAATGAGTTTAGGTGAGCTGACCATCTGCATTTCAGAAAGCAGATAAAAGACCAGCAAATATCAAACACTGGCCCCTAGTGTTGACATCTTAACATTTCAGCAAGACGTGCCATCAGGTAAAACTTTCTCTCATACTTGCTTTAAACTTTCAGAATTATTAGTTCAACAATTCACGTGAAAGGAGCAGTTTTTGAGCTACAGGCCACACTGAGCACATGGTAATGCCTGCAGTGTCCGAAACATCCTTCAGAAAACTGCAGCTCTGACTGCATTACAAAAAAGAAGCAGCTTCTCTTCACACATTAGCAAGTGGGAACTTGATGCAACATGCTGACTATATCAGTTCTGCTATCAAGTTAGATTAACTTTCAATTAAGGTTTTCAATTAAGAATACAATTCCATTCTTCTGAAACTGAAAAGAACTATTTGTTACACTGTATAAAGCCCAAACTGCATGCAAAAGCAATCTGCATTCAACCCTCAAAAAAATTCTTACCTTCTCAATGATCTCATAGCATTCTTCCAACTTCTGAGTTCTGTCTTTCAAAAGTATACTGGCTTCATTATAGACATTCAGCCACTCTCTGTAAGAGTTTTCTGACAGATCGGCATAAGCGATACACAAAGTCCTCAGACCTACAAAACAGAATACAGTGCAATTTTAGGTGTGCAGTGACTGAGTACCTGCAAAATGGTCTAAAGAACACTAAATTCTAACCCTCTCACTGGAGTCAACAATTCTTTCTGCAAATTGGTGAACTCTGGTTTCCTGTACATTTTTTAATGCATTTGTTTCCACAAATACTAAACGAGTGTCTGGCTCATACAGGTTACTACTGCTGGTGCAAATCAAGAGGGCCTAATGGGTACAAGCTTCTCTCTAATTTTCAGTATTGTAATGTAGAGTTAATGCCAACATTTTACCCTACTGCAGAAAAGGGAACAAAGCCAAGCACTTCCCTGTGAACAGAGGTGTTACACCAATCAAAGGTCTTGAGACCATCTCAGATCATCTTGTGCCCTCCAGGCATCTCAGTATATTCATGTTATTAAGTTTGCTTCATAAAGCCAGAGACTTTGTCATCTGACTTTTTACGGTGGTAAAAATACCAGTTTCTCCAATTAAATTGAAAAATATAATTAGTGTCCCTTCATCTAATCACAAATACAGAGTTCCAACTCCTTCCACATTCCATTTCTGTACTGGAATTGCACAGAAGTAGAAGTAGGGCAAAAATTTCCTTAGGTATAGTTATCTTACAAGTTGCTAATCTGCTGCTACATACCGATTTTGAATATACAGCCACCTTATTTGGCACAAGAAAGCTCAGGTAGTGCAAGAAATAAACTAATAAACTGAATGACTTTTACATGCTGCTTCTCTTACCTTCTGTGGCAAAGTACTCAAGATGGCACAGTGTTTGCTCCATATACTGGGAATCTTTCGAAAGCCTCTCAAAAATTACATTGTCCTGTTAAAAGCAAATTCATTACAATGGAGTAAGTCTGCATACAAAGTTTCAATGTGTGTATGTACCAGATCTAGTGAAATTACCTGACTGGACTTGCTTAAATCGGAACCCAAGACTAATAAATTTAATGTAATGCATTCAAGTTTCAGAGACACTGGTTTGAATAATCATCTGAGCTGTGCCCAGTAGTAGAGATCACAGTGCACCGACTACACATAACAGGCACAGAAGTACACACTGTCTCTACCCACTTAAATAATAGGGACTTTTCCATCATGTAATCCCCTCTCAACCATTGTAGAACACTCCTGTCTGAATTAAGCAAACGTACTAGTTTTCAGAGTATGTAAGTATGTTGTCTTATTTAGTACTCATTGTAGTCTTCCTGCCTTTCTAGAAGAGATTTCCATTGATGTTTAAAAACAGAAGGTAGAAAAACCTTCCTCCCACAGCTCCTTCTTTAACACTAAATCACATGGCAATAGAAATACTTATGTACATGAATAACAGAAGTAATCAAAATGCAGCATCATCATCTTTCTTGTTTCTGTGTTTTATCATGTGATTACCAGATTGAGTTGCTATGTTAAGCAAAATATGCAAACCCTAAATGTCCTTAAATACATACTCTAAAGCAAACTAAGCACATAGGCCTACATCCATCATGGAATAGTCATATAAAACAGGAAATTTATGATCTAAGTGTTAGGATAAGATGTTTCCATCAGAACCTGGCACGTTTTGTGCAGAACAGAAACAGTAGATGAGCAGTAGATGCAGCAGAACAAACAAAATGAAAAACCATATTGGAGCAAAAGGGTTGTAGTAATCAGCACATCAGACATCTGATCCTGCTCAAATCAAAGACAGCAAGAAGTTTCTTACTCCTGTTTTCCACCCTTTTCACTGCCAATCTACAAGAAACTGTTAACAGAGGCACAGTAATAGCAGTGATTGAACACAAACAGGTGCAAATCAGTGAGGAGTTACTATGCACACAACTTTAAAGTATCGCGTAGCAAAAGCAGGCTTAATTCATTCCCACCACTTTAGCTTGAAGCTAGCATCATCTTTACCGTATCACAGGAGTTAAACTGAAGCAGAGCTGTGCACCCAAGCCTATATGTCAAGTAAACCAGATCCTTACCGGATATTAGAAATAGTTTTCCCTGTTGTAAAAAGTCACCTCCATGATTTTCCATTGAAATCAGAGCACTATGGCTGTGGACAATGCTGCTTTTACAGCCTTTGTATTTTGTTAAGTTATTGCCCATCAGTGAAGACAGAAACATAACTTGGTGCAAGTCATGATGACAAAAAACAGCAGGTGTAGAGATGTGAGAGAGCCAGATCAAGAGCCAACCACTTGAAAGCAAAAGTTAGTATTACAGCTTTAGACAGCAGCATTTTGTCTAGCTCCTGAATTCCTGTTGTATGGCTGGATGAAATCCAGCCTTTGCTTAAGTTGAGAGTACTGTTCCTGTAAGTTTCAGGATTCCACTTGGACAGTAAATAGCCTAACAACTTGCCTGCAAAAGAAGTCAAAGAAGGAATTACAGACCTCCTAAATCACTTGGTCCTAAACAAAATGCCAACTGGTATTACGTATGAGACATAAAGTGCCAGCATCAGTCACAGCTGTTGAAACAATAACTAGTAATATTAGCTCTCCACTGAAGTGGTATAATTACTCACAGCTCCTTTGCAGTACAGACGTAGTTGTCCTGCTGGAGTTCGAACAATCACAGACATTCTCTTCCTGTTACTATTGAAAGAAAAACATTTGTTTTCATTATCTATATTGATGAAGCAGAAGCCCTGTTCTAGCCAGTGAATACTCAGTTGTGCTTAGTGCATCAAGGATCGTGTGAGGTGGAAGAGTAATAACTTAAGACCTCACAGTCCTAGAAAGCAAGAAGAAATATTAAGTTGCACATTTCCAGCTTCAGCCCCATGGCTCCCATGGGCAAGCACTTGATCAAAACACCTGTACTTACAGCCAAATGTGAGCAAGAACTTGGAAAAAAGCAAGATGGCATAACAATTATCTTGAACAAAGAGGAGTCATTTACTCTCATCTTTTTTATTATATCTTAAAGGTAATGTTTTGGGGATTCTGGCTAGAAATGGAAATATTAAGGCTGGAAGTATATTACTCCTAACATACTGAAACAAATACCTACTGACATAGGGGCCTTTATTTAAATTTTTAACCCAAAAGAATGAAGAACATGCAAAAATATCACAGAAAGTAGTCACGCTCCAGATCAGGTTTTAGCCTCCTTACTCTCTGAGAGCTGCACATCAAGACCAAGTCATGTATATGTGTATTTTTAAAGTAAACAGTGTAAGAATCTAAGGTTTAAGAGTTAAGGTAAGGGATTTTTTTAAACTTAATTATTTTAAATATATACATTTTGACATTTCAGTTATCCACCTCTCTTTTCTAATATACACTGGAAATAAAAATGCAGTTTATAAGGGTGAGAGGCAAACGAATAAACTCCTCTCAAGAGAACTCTGAAGAAACTGTAGTTTCGTATTCAAAAGTTATCTGTAAGCATAGTTGGATGCATCATGGGAAGCCAGGTTGGGTGGATCTTTAAGCAACCTGATCTAGTTAAAGATGTTTCTGCCCTTGGCAGGGAGCGTGGACTAGGTGATCTTTAATGGTCTTTCAAACCCAAAGCTGTCTGTGACTTCATGTAATTCTTGTCCTTAGCCAAAAGAAGCAGATGGAAACAAGGAGCAGAGGTGTCCTCCTTCCTTTCTTACAAGTATGTAGAAACAGAGCAGAATGTGAAGTCTCAAATCCTTCTCTTTAAAAGTTACTCTGGCAGATCTAACCTCTTTTTGTAAGCTTGGGAAACATTTACACAATAGCAAGCTCTTACTATGTCTCATCAGACAAAACCATCTTTTTGTGCTTTCCAAAGCAAGTCTGGAAGCAAGTTAACTATGCTAAGAATTTATGCTGCAAACTAATGGCCCTGGGGAACTTCCATGTGCTTTTGAAATGTAATTATAGGGATTCCCTCACTTGGTCATGTGGGAAAGTTGATACACACAGGGAAGGGCTAGGACAGCGTTTACTAAAAGCACTGCATGAGGGCTACAGATTCTCCTGTCTGTGGAGAGTGGTCAACTTGTCTGAAACCCTGAAGGACTCTCCTAGCACCTTTTAGATATTTTCATATGTAGCCTAAGTAGCTGCATTCAGAATGGGAAAAGGTGAAAAGAAATCAAAAGCAATCATAGCTAGTTGTTCACAGCTGAGATGTTTCTTACAATGAGCACCAAAAAGTCCTTCAGTAGGCAATTTTACCTATGAAAGTAAAACACAAGTGATTTACACAACTTCTGTAAACACTCAATCTGAAATCATGTTCTTGAAGTAGACAAAGGATACATCAAGATATAAGTGAGATATGGAGCAACACTCTCACAGCAGCAACTTCAAGGTAAAAAGAGAGCTTGGGTAGCAGAGAAACCTCCAACCTCCCATTCTAACAGCTGCCACCAGACACCATTTTTTAAGTAACTCTTTTAGATCATTATTGGAAAATGGGGATGGAGGAGCAGGAGAAAAAAAAACTAAGGAGGTTCAGGTTTTTTTTACTGCATTAGCTATATATCTACCTATCAAAGATACATATTTATTTAAAATGTTTTTCACTACCCTGAGTAAAATATATTATAGAAAACTTACCTGGAAAATTCCAGTACATTAAGAATTTCAAAGGTTTTTTCTTTTCCCAGCTACAAAAACAAAGATATTTACTATTTTAAGTACAAATCATGTGATATTCCTATGCGTTAACATACAAGTTAGTTGAAACACTTCTGCTTACACATCCTGGTGTAAATAAAGCTGAGATAATAGCTCCCTCTCCTGGTACAAGTGACGCAGAGCCTTGTTTAACGAAGATCATTTGACATGGCACTTCCATTTACTCTTTTTATACAACTTCAAAAAAAAATTATCTTACTATTAGAGATATAAGCATCCTCTGCTTTCTGCAGAGAGGATAAGAGCGTAGATAGCTCTAGAATACATGCCTCATCCTAAGCTCTTCTCCTTAATCTAAGCATTAGTTTCCTGCAAAATAAAAGGTTTGAAACAAGTTCCAGACTGTCAGATGTTTCAAGTGCCTGGCTTGGAGTTGTACCAAAAATTTGAAAGCGAATCCACAGAGAAGAAAAAAGTATATCCATTATTCTCAGTAAGCACCTACTAGGTATTCCACAGAAAGTTCTTATCTCAGCTGCACCTGTACATGTCTGGAGCCACTTCAGCACAAACTGCAACTTAGAGTCAGAATGTGGCTTCATGAGTTTGAAACTGCCATGTCAAATGTTATCTGCTAGTTACACACCCCAGCATACACGCAGAGATTGCAAGGTACATAAAATTTCTTCAGAAGATTATCTAACTTGGAAGAAAAAGAAATGTTTTAATACAAGCAATTCAACATTTAGAAATAGAGTAACTACCAAATACAACAGAACGAAATGTGATAGACAAGCCTTTCAAGAAAAGAGATGTAGCAGTGAGGGACATGGTTTAGTGGGCATGGTGGTGATTTTAGTGGTCTTCCTCAGCCTTGACTCTATGACTTCCTTATGGATGTGTGCTACTTTGAGCTTCCCAGTTAAAGTGAAATGTTCTTCAGACACAACTGCCATAATTTCACATGAGCTTCCAACTCCCTACTGCCCATTCCACAGAGAAGAACAGAGGACTTTGCATATAAAATAGACTAAAACAACTCTTCACAACCAACAAAAGCCTTTTGTACCTACCTTAGTAAAGGCCTTAAAAGTAAGAAGAACTAAACAGTAAACATATATTTTCTACATGAGCTCATGAGCTTGGCACACAGTCTACCTACCGCATCAATGATAACTGAATGTGGAGTCCTTCCTGTGAAGACATAACCAAGTTTTTTTGCTCCTTTCACTAAAGCCCCTTCATCTGCCAATAAAATAAAAGATTAGATTTGATGTGATATGCAGAGAAAGGAAAGTACAAAGCTCACATCCAAGCAAGACATGGTGCCAAAACAGAAGCCACCCTTCCTATTTATTCAAGCTGCTGTGTCTGTACAACTGCTAGAGTAGCACATTTTACTCCTTGAAAGGCCATGTGAGATCAGCTAGACAAACTTTATACTCCATCTGTATAAAACACTCTGCAATTACTGAAGCATTAAGCCCCGCTGCTGTGGAGGAGTCATAGTTTCCTTCTACATGAAAAGGGGGAAATACCTGTTCAAAAAGCAAGATCAAAGCTGAGTTACCCTACATTCTTACAACATTCATCTAAGGGGTTTGAACTGGATGGGCTTTAAAGTTCCTCCTAATTCAAACCACTCTGCAATTCTGTGATGGGGAACAGGGTCCTGCTATTCTGAATACTGGCCCTACGTAGCTCTTTTAGCACTACTGCACTTCCTGAAAGGACAAAATGGGTGAAAAGCATGTCCAAATATGGCCAAGACTCCACTCTGTATCACACTGGGTCCTGTTTCAGCATCTACTAAATAAGGAAAAATAAACTGCACTTGTGCCAAATACACCAAATAACTTTACATGCAGAAACAAATCAGTACTTCCACTTCCCTCTACACAGTGAAATCACTGGAAATTTTAGCTTTGCTTTTCAACCCTCAAAGAGACAAGAATGAGAGGCCTCTTAAGAGCAGAAGGGATGATAAGCTCAGCCTGTCAAAAACATAATGGGACTTAACAGCAGTTTTATAGAAGGCATTAAAAGCAGCGTGCACTAATGACAGAGGATGTCAGATCTACTGCTAGTATCACATAGGAGGACCATCTTGCTTTTAAAATTAGTGATCTTTTCAGAAGTTTCTGGACCTTCCTTTCATCCCCGTACATCCACTCCTTACATCCCATCCCTTCTCCCCCTCCCCCCCCAAAAAAAAAAAAGAAAGCAGCATCCAACCTGGAGAGGAGGCCTGGTAGATAATTTTATTTCCTTGTCTCTCAGGAACTACAGTGTGACACACAGCCAGCAGAGTGAGGAACTCCTGTATGTGTACAGCTGTAGGCTAGACAGAACACCAGGAGAGGCAATTTTAGTATTACACACAGAGGCAGCTGTCCCCCAACTTGAGAGAATGATCTCTTAGATCACAGACAAAAAAAAAAAAACAACTTGAAAAATAAAATAAAATAAAATAATTCCCTGATTGCAGTAGTTGTCTTACTTGGCTCCAGAACATCAATACAACAGAGTCAAAGGCTAGCATTAATCAACTATATTGCTAAAGAGAAGTGTTTCACTTAAGTTACATAGAGTTGGAAAGCCCTCCAAACACCCTAATACAGAAGCACTAATTCTGTAATTAAAAACCTTCAGCAAGTTTGCAGACGACACCAGGCTGAGCAGTGCAGTCGATACATTGGAGGGAAGGGAAGCCATCCAGAGGGACCTGGGCAGGCTGGAGAAGTGGGCCCACGAGAACCTAATGAAGTTCAACAAGGCCAAGTGCAGCGTGCTGCATTTGGGTTGGGGCAATCCCAAGTACTGATAAAGGCTGGGGGAAGAACTCCTTGAGAAGAGCCCTGCAGAAAAGGTACTTGAAGATCCTGGTGGACGAGAAGCTGGACGAGAGCCAGCAGTGTTTGCTGCAGCCCGGAAGGCCAACTGTGCTCTGGGCTGCTCTAAAAAAGGGTGGCCAGCAGGAGAGGGAGGTGATTGTCCCCCTCTACTCAGCTCTTGTGAAGCCCCATCTGCAGAACTGCGTCCAGGCCTGGGGCCCCCAATACAGGAAGGACGTGGAGCTCTTGGAGCGGGTCCAGAGCAGAGCACTGAGATGATCAGAGGGCTGGAGCACCTCTCCTATGAGGAACTGCTGGGCTTGTTTAGCTTGGAGAAGAGAAGGCATCGGGGAGACCTCACTGTGGCCTTCCAGTACTTGAAGGGAGGTTATAAACAGGAGGAGATACAACTGGTTATGAGGGTAGACAGTATAGGTCAAGGGGGAATGGTTTTAAACTAAGATAGGGGAGGTTTAGGTTAGATATTAGGAGGAAGTTTTTCACACAGAGGGTTGCCCAAGGAGGTTGTGGATGCCCCATCCCTGGAGGCATTCAAGATCAGGCTGGATTTGGCTCTGCACAGCCTGCTCTGGTGGTTGGTGACCCTGCCTGTGGCAGGAGGTTGAAACTCGATCATTGTGGTCCTTTTCAACCGAGGTCATTCTATGATATGATATGTAGCACCCCAAGCTTCACACAGGCCAAAGGTTTTAACTATATACTGATTATTAAGAAACAAGATCTACTGCTTTGATAGCTTCCATGAGAACTTTCAATAAATTGAAAGTAACCACACCATAATTCAACTCATTGCAACTGTACTCTGAGTGAAGAACATACAGAGTGGATAGCTGCTGATTAACAAGCAAAAGTAGCCATCATGTTCTGTCACATGGGAACACTCACAGAATCACAGAATCACCCGGGTTGGAAGGGACCTCAAGGATCATGTAGTTCCAACCCCCCTGCCTAGCAGGGCCATATCAGGGCCACTCATCCAGCCAAGCAGAAATTTCACCAACAGTTTCTACAACTTCAGCATCATGACACAACATCATTCAGACTGCATAGTCACCAGGTACATCCACGACACTGAAGGTGTCATAACACACTGCTCATGAGCAAATTCTGGCAATTATGGCTATAGTGATTGGAAGCAGAGACCTCTATGCTGTTCTTACCTCCTTTTTACCCCTCTCCTCTTGCCCCATGTTTTCAGTCTCATAGCAGTCAGAAATAGTACTCAACTGCCCAGATCAAAACCAGGCATATTAACATCATATGCAGTTCACACCTTTACTAGGACACTTGGCTGAAATCATCTCAGTTCATCGTGCTTTGACCATACTGCCCACAGTTGTTGCGTTGAAACCTTACATCACAGCAGCCATTTGTACAGTGACGGAGTCATTTTAGCAGAAAATTACTGAAGTCATCCTTTGTGGTTTAGCTTGCAAACTTTCATGAGCTTTGGAATATGGAAAAAGCCATCTTGTTTCCAAAATTCTCATTAGGATAGCTTATTTTATACTTTCTATCAGAGCAACTGTGAAATCAAAAGTATTACATGAGCTATCAGCACATCAGGTCAAAAGAAATAGTACTGTAATATTACAAGGAAAATCAGAAGGAGACAAACACCAACCTTATAAAACAAAGCCTGATTTTTATCTACTGAAATCTTGTAAAATCATCCAGTAAAACAGGATTCAAAGGTTTTTTTTAAACAATTAGAAGATGCTTCTACACTGGCTATTTTCCCAGCGTATAGTAGAACATTTCACAACAGAACTCAAAGGCTATGTTCAAATGAACACTTTTCAAGTGAAAGCTACATGCCACCAAATATTCTCTGATGTGTGAAACTTGTATTCTATGTATTTTTCTCAGAAATGCAGTACTAAAATGTGAAATACACCACACTCATTAACCACTAATCAGAGACACTAAAGACGCCTACATCAGAAAGGGAAATTTAAAATGCACCTTCCCTTAGTTAGAGCAGCAGCATTCACAGCTGGCTCTCAGACATCTTCATACTTCTCCATCTACCACATGCTACATCACTGTTTCACAGAGGCCTTTATCTTTGCATAGAGATTTCTGAGCTGCATGGTCACGTGCCACTAAAATAACCACTGTCGCATTCAACATGCAAAGAACAGAGGCTGCGGTTCAAGAAAATGAACAGATTGCACATAACCAAAGAGTAGTGTGAGAAATGATAAGTTCACAGGAAAGCACTGTTCAAGAGGTTACTGCTGCTCCATTATTTCCAGTGAAAGCCATGTAAGATACCTCTACCTCTCTCAAAAATGCACAGCCTGCCAGACTCTCACTTCAGCACCCGCTGCTGCAGACCTTCAATGTCCTTCTCACAGCTGTATCACCTAGCCTCTCTGCATGCTTCAATATTACCTGTTCTATCAGCTAGAAAAAACCTGTCTCGGGTAACATCACTGATTTTAATCATTCCTACATATATATTTCTGCTTACAATCCAGCAGGGTAATTTGCTGCTGCCTTGGTATTTTCACATCTCACAATGGACTTCATGGCAATTTTCCAAACCTACAGCAGCTGATCACCAGACAGAAGCTTAGTTTATCAGGTCAGCTCTTCCACACAATTGTCATTTGTTTCCTTTCTATATTGTTCCAACAATGATATAATATTTATTGCACTGGCATGAATCAGGACAGAATGTTTGAATGTCTGCTTCAGAGCTGTGAACAGCTCAGTCTCACTAACGGCTTTTGCAGTAATTTATCCTCTGCATCACACATTTAATCCCAGCATAAGGAAGTACCACAGGTTAAATGATCCTGCTTAATTACTTGTTTTCCTCTATTTAAAGCAAATCTCACAGATTCTTACTGATGGTCTCTATCAGGCATTCCTCATAAGTTTTATTTTACACTCAGATCTATTTTCTCCCAATTCCATTTCTTCCTTCCTCCTAAATCTGCAGCAGGAACAAAGCTCTCATTCCAGGTTCCTTCTTCCCCACTCCTCTCTCTGGGTGCCAACAGCTCTGGGTCAAAGCTATTGCATCTCTCTGAATAATAGGAGAAATGCCCAGCTTCAGTGATTTCCAACCAGGCAAAGATCTCAGTGAAACAGCAAAGTTTTTATTGGTTATTGCAATGGAGGGCACACACCCCTTTATGGCAAGGGAGAAATCACACACTTGATCAGTGAAACACTTCTCATTATACCTTTTTCTCCTATCACAGGTTTTTCGTTGCCTGTTTCCTATTTACTAGGTACTCCAGGCTTACAATCTATGCAAAACATTTATTAATCCATTTTTCCATATGAGGTCTATCATCAACCTATTGCTTTTAGGATCATTTTGTATATTTCTATGGATACAGAAGGGCAATATTTCTTGAAGCTGTTATAGCTGTTTCATCCTGTGCCAGGCATTCCTTACCCTGCTCTGTATTTTTCCTTCCCTTACTACTTATGAAAGCCATATTTAAGAACAAACCCATATCAGAAAATATCTAAAGGTTACTAAGCCCCAATTCCTGATTTATGGTACCTATTATGTTGTGCTAGCAAGCATAAATTCAGTTATATATTTACATGTATTTAGCAGCCTTTCCCTTGCGTATTCCTTTGCAAAAGCTCGCATTGTTCATGTTTGATCCCGGTGGGTGTTGCTCAAACCCTCTCGACTAATTTCTTACCCTGGTCAGGGTGTCCTAGCTTCTGCTCTATTCTGTTGCCCAGCATCTTTCTTGCAGCAGCCGTTTTGTAAGAAGTTATAAGTTCAGTAAGGGTCTACACCTTGGCACTGGAAGTTTCTACTGCAAAAACACAATTTAACTCTCACAATAAGGGCAGTGTGGAATACCGGATGTGTAACCACTCCTTGAGCAATATATCTCACTGGCTGAACTTAATTCACACCGTGTCTCTAAAGTAAGAGCTACGGACATGTGGAGACAGTCTCATTTCTGGAAGCAGTCTCTGAATTGTTATCTACAAAGCGTTATCTGCAATAAAAATAGATACGCCTTTTTTTTGCCTTGTCTAGAAGGCACAACACTAACCACTATCAAGCAGAACACAGAGCAGTGGTCAGAAAACCATTATTAGAACTTCTCATCCCTCTGCATACATGTTCTCCGTTACTCAGGGGGAATAAACACTGTGCTGAAACTTGGTCTTTTGGAACAAACTACATATCTCCATGTCACACGTGCAGGTCAGCCACTCTGAAGAAACTGCATTATTTTAGCTAGATACTCATAGCCTGAAGTTACAAAGAGATTACATGTAAAGTTACATGTAATTTCTTTATTCACTTCCAGCAGTATCAGATCAGTGCCTCTATTATGTTTCCAGATAAGCTAGATTGATAGATTTCTAAGCAACTTGTCCAAAAGTGTTCAACAGAACACTAAAACACAATTTAAGAACTTGACCTTATTACTTTGAATAAATGCTGCCCGTCCTGCCAATGATAGCTAGTAAAATACTTACTCATTTTATTACCAGAGAGAACTATAACTCACTATCTCAAAAAGATATAAGAATTCCTACTGTTTTGCTCATTAAACTATGTGGAGAATAGCTGAGGATCCAGTCATGCTGGTCACCTCTAGAACAGGGAAGCTGGTAAGGTTGGAGTGGGTGTTTCAGGAACTCACTCAGAAACACATTAAGGGGCACTGGAATTCCAAGTGAATTAAATACAAGTTTTTCTTGTCAAAACCACTGAAAAATAACCAATGATTGAATGACTGTACTTCAATAAAAGAAAAATGTCCAAGTCCCATATGCAGCATGCAAAAAAGCAGAAGAGTAACAAGTATTTCTTGTCAACTGACTAATTGTGACATGGAAGTGCATATGAAACAATGAATTTCTCCATGTGGAAAAAGTTGCACTCATTGACATTCATTGATGCTTGCTGAACATTTATGGAGACCAAACTGTGTGTCTGAGCACAGTGGGGCAGTGGGTGGTGCATTTCAGCAGTGGTGACAGCAACCTGAAAGACAAGCCATGTTCCAGTCAAGCCATGCACAGCCATCACACCAGAAAATTAAGTGTCTTAATCAGATGATCTGCACAAATTGGCTAATAGTGTGATTATGTTGAAAAAGTGTTTTGTAGCTGAGAATTTGTTCTGTCAAATAGTGTAACTGTGCTCTACCTATTTAGTTTCCATGGAAATAAACAGGAGGCATTACTTTTGGAGCCACCTGCATATTATATTTTTTTTAATTTTCATATTGGAAAGAAAATTACTTGGTGTTGAGACAGCTCTAAAAGTAATGTACGCGAGTGGATTGAAAAGAAAAAAAAAGCAATGCAATCTTCACAACCAAAGCAGTGTGCTGTTTAATGAGTGTTGGTAGAAGATAACAGACTGATAGCTCCAGCTGCAAAAAGGCAAATGATTAAAGGCAATTCACTGCCTTGCTGAGTACAGCAGCTTCTGACCCCACAGTGCCGCTAGTGCTGTAAGTCCCATTTCACCACCTCAGTTCTCTAAATGAGTAGAAACTGTCATACATACATGAACAACATCTGCATGCATCAACAAGCTATGAAAATTGAAGTGATCCACATAAACACAGACAATTTATACACCTGAACAGGCTTGAAGCTAAGGGCTAAAAACAGGCAACTTTTTACCCTCCATGCTGTAATCCAGTCCTCATCTCATGGATGCAGTTTGAGAGAGAGACCTATATTTTAAAAGAACGCAGGCAAACTGTTGCACCCATTCTTTAAGTCTTACGCTAAATCATCACTTCCCCACGTGTAGCATCTGTTCCTGCAGTACAGTCAGGCTTCAAAAGGCATCTGTGGTCTACAAGAGGCCCATCTGAAGTAACATAAGGCAGAAATTTCCCCACTGCTTGCCTGATAGCTGATTTAACTCAGCGAGTTCACTCTAACAGTGCAATAACTTACCTGCACTCAAGTTGCCAGCTAAAAGGCAGCCTGGATACCTAAGAGCTGAACGTGATGAACAAAGCTCTCTATCTCAGCTGTCTTTACAGTGACACCTAGGGATACTACCTAAACCCATTTGTCAGCAGTGAATATTCCATCTATCCCACAAAGAAGCAGCTCTACCCTGAGGAGATTAAAAAAAAAAGAAAAAGAGATATCCTAAGGTTAAGGAGCCACCTCAAGGGTAAATGAGAAACTCTCAATCCATCTAATGTATGTCTCTTCTGCTTAGCATACTGAAACATAAAATCACATCTACACACCCCTAAGAGTAACAGATAGTGAGTAAGAGCCCAAGCACATATTACCTATAGTCTGCACCTAAGCCTTTAGTGCAGCAACTACCACTTTGGAGCCACTACCATAAACCATAACTGTAACTGCACATTAATAATATGGGATGCCATCCAAAGGGACTTGGACAGGCTTGAGAGGTGGGTTGATTCCAACCTTATGAAGTTCAACAAGGCCAAGTGCAAGGTCCTGCTTCTGGGTCAGGGCAATTCCAAGCACAGATACAGGTTGAGTGGAAAATGGCTTGAGAGCAGCTCTGAGGAGAAGGATTTGGGGGTGTCAATGAAAGACTGAACATGAGCTGGCAATGTGTGTTCACAGCCCAGAAGGCCAACTGTATCCTGGGTTGCATCAAGAGAAGCATGACCAGCAGGTCATGGGAGCTGATTCTGTCCCTCTACTCTGCTCTCATGAGACCCTGTCCGGAGTACTGTGTCCAGTTCTGGGTCCCCACACACAAGAAGGACATGGAGCTGGTGGAGTGGGTCCATAGGAGGGACACTAATCAGAACGGTGGAGCACCTCCTGTATGGGGACAGACTGAGAGAGCTGGGGCTCTTCAGACTGGAGAAGAGAAGGCTCCAAGGGGACCTTACAGCAGTCTTCCAGTACTTGAAGGGAGCCTACAGGAAAGCTGGGGAGGGAGCTAGATGATGTTTAAGGTCCCTTCCAACATAAACCATTCTATGATTTTATGATTCTGTGATAAACAGAACACAGGAACAGGAGGTAATCCTCATCCTGGATGTAGGTCTTTCTAGTGCAGTTGAGTGCCAAAGCCACACAGGAAGCCAGTGCATTATCCGGAGAGGGATAACAGGAGCTGTCTTCAGGCTCCTTCACCTTGAGGAATTTAATGCAATGCACGGTAATAAAATAATCCTTCAGACACTTGCACTATGATGCATTTCAAGTTGTTAATACTGTAAAGCAAAGCAGAAAGCAAAGCTCTGCAGAGGAAAAACAGCATGTTGTAAGTTTATTTTAGATGTTCATATTAAACTTAGCCTGCCAAATTACAGAAATTATACAGTAAGAAGAACAGTCTGCTAACCAAGTTTGTTGTTTCAGTTTTTGCTTGCCAATATCCACATCCCATACTGTGGCACAGCTTCTGCAGAACAGAAGGGTCATGCTTTTTAATTTTCTCTCTACATTTTACAAGTGATTTCTTCTTCTTTTTATAGCTACAAAGTGTCTAAATAAGAAGAGAACTGACAGTCCTAAGAAGTACGTCCCCTTGGGATATAACGACACAAAAACTATCCATTGCTTTAGGTCTCAGTCACTGTAAGATTAGGCTTGCAATTAAATCCTAATCTGCTATGTTCTTTACAGAATCTCCATCATTTGCAGCATTTTAAGCAGGTCTCAATACAATCACCTTGCAATGCCCTGAATTATTGCTAAAAATAAAAAAAAATTAAAGGTATTTTAACAGGAAGAGGTAGGAGGAAGCCCATTTGTTTCCTATATCTCTCTGTGCTTTCATCTGTTTTATGACAAACCTGTAGAGCAAATTTGATCACAGAAGCAGATTTGTTTAGCATTCAGTTTCAGACTGGTCTAGAAAATAGGGCATTTAAGAGACGTGACATTCACAAAGTAGACTTACATGGTCATTTTCAATGTTTTGCAGCAGTCTTGGGTCATCAAATTCACACGATTCACTGGTAGGAGGAGGTAGCTGGCTGCGGAGCAAGACAAGACAAATATAACAGTAACAATATTGCCATTCTTATCAGTTCATCTCTTTCTATTCATCCACTTTGTTGGAGAGAAAGAACTAAAATAAAATCCTACTGCTCTAGCAAGTACTGTGAAAAGATCATATGACTCACACACAAAATGCTGAAAATAATTGACACTCTCTTCACCACAGCAGTAAGAAGCATTAGAAGAAGCATACAGCAGTAAGAGGTATGCCTGCAAGTGTATTTCAACATTCAAGTGTCAGTACACCTCCTGGGACAGGCGTAGCAGAAACAGCTTTTAAGTGTTCTTAAAATACATTGATTTCAAGTTTCCTCTCTTAAGTCAGTGAATTCTGCTCTAAGTTGACTCCTGAAGGACTCTGAGCCTACGTAATCCAAATCAGTATCTGGAAGAAATTCTAGAAATTCTTTTACAGAGCTGACTAATGGAAGCACATGAGGACAAAAAAAAAAAATAAATAAATAAAAAAATTAATGAAGGAAGCAACAACATGAAAGGAGAGAAGCATCTACAGAAATTCCATCTCAGCAGAAGTAGCAGCCTCTCATATTAACTTCTTCCTGGAAGTAATCACAAAAATCAGAAGCACTAGAAAAGCTTAACTTAGCTCATAAGGAAGTAGTTTCCTAATAGCACTCGGTGTCTACCTGTTTCTTCAGTGGTACTCATACCCCTCATTACCCATATCAGACATTCAAAGCCACATCAGCACTCTCTGGCTCTTTCCCACTTCCTATTAAACTGAATATGCTACACTGACACCTCCTGTGAATGACTTCCTTCTAGGCTTTCACTCCGTCTATGACACTAACACATCTAGCACTTTCCCAGCTTACCAAGTAAAACACCACATTTCAGTTAAGAAATTCCTTTGCTTCCTGTCAACTTTGAGCTTAGTGAAGTGGAGGAAAAGCAGTACATTTATCACTGGAGACTGAAATAAGAGTCACTCTTAGCTTGTTACTTTGTTGTTGGCAGTTATAAACGAGCACGGCATTAGCAGGCATCCATGCCAGGGCAGCCACTGCCTATCCTTCACCCTCCTGTCCCTATCACCTCCCTGTGAAAAAAGCTGCAGCATCACCCACCAGCCCTAGATGCTTTTCGAACAGGAGCCTACATTCAAACACATCGTTTCATTGGGCTTCTTTCAGTTTCAAATTTGAAAGCAGTCTGTTTATACAGTTTGTTCCCATTCTGCTACACAGAATACAAACACGTTGGAATGTATTTACCTGAAGTCCTCTGATGAACGTTCTCTTTCCAACTCCGGAAAATGGCTAAGGGAAAAGATGGGGAAGAAAAATAACAAACCCCATGAAGCATTTATTCCACTTTGCAACTAGAAAATAGGCAGAAGGCAGAGATCAATGCACCATCACACATACAAGCACACAATGGAATCAGGGATTCAGCTTTTCTAAGGTTTGAATAACATTCTCTGTCTTTTGAAGTATCTAAGTTAGCTACCATGAAACTCAAAGGCTATTTTGCATGGAGACCTTAAGAGTAGTCATAAAAAATTAGCAAAGACCAAAGATACAGCATCTGAGAGTCAAAAAGCCAGGTGCTATGAAATACTAGAGTGATCCCAAGAGATCCTTTTGATAAAAACAGAACAAAAATAGTTAAGTGGGCATTGCTCCTGTACAAGCAAGATTTAACTCTTGTCTTCTGACAATTACAACTATCTGACAGTAGTGAAATTCTCACTATTAGAGGGAGTCATGGAAACAAAATAGACTTCTGCCTTTAAGCCACGTAATCTTCCCTCTGCAAAGGGGCCAGAGGGTATTTAGCTCTTCTGTTTTAATTTAAGTCACAAGCAGACAGTTAGGAAGCAATAAGATTATTTCTCTTTTCATGTAAAGTGTTCTCCAGGTTTGTGTTTCACACGTTGTGTCACAGGACACGAAAATGAAAGCTAATAACTGTGATCATAAAATACATTACAGTATACACTGAACAACACGTTCTGATGATATTCTGATCTAAAAGTATCTATATGATCATGCACACGTTTACCTACAGTTTCTAAAAAGTCATACCTACCCATATGTCACTCCAGCAATACTACATTTCTTGAAGTTCATGATATTACATGTTAGTGTACCCGTTTTATCTGAAAACAGGTATTTTACCTGGAAGAAAGAAGTTTAATTTTAACTTGCAAAGTAACAAGACTGAAATAAATGGAAAACAGTTAAGCTTAAGGAAAATTCAAGAACAGACCTAAGACCCAGAAATGTCACAATGCAGGTTTGTCATACCAAAGCTAAAGGAAAACAATCAGGAAAGCTCTTTAATGGTATTATCTCTTATTTATCTGTAAATGCAGCAAGGATCAAGTAGTAGGTATTAATTGCCACAGCTCCAGTTACACTGGCTTGTGCAAGTTCAATGTTCAACGTTCACTGAATCTTTCAGTTGTATTAACATCGTATAGCAAGACAGGAAACTAAAGTAAAGGTTCCTGAAAAATCAGAAGCATAAAAAGAATCAAGGTTCCTACCTTTCTTAAGCCAAAACAGATTAAAAAAAAAATAGATGAGAGCTAAATTCCATGGTGTTTTATCTCTGAATCTAATAAGATTATAAACCAGCAACCATTCAGAAGGGATGGTACTACCACAGGGATCTGTCCATTTAAAGACCAGAATTTTTCTAGATTTGCAGAAAGTTTTTCATCAAGATCTGCAACACAATTCAGTTCATTTTAGCAATGCATTAAATAATCTCCGAATACATAGCATTGGAAGTGGAGCCTGAGCAAGTCAGAAGTCAAAGTACATACCCAAAAATCTGAGAAACATCAAGTTACTAATAATTCTGACCTACAACAAAGCTAAAAACACCTGTGATCAAGTAATTCCACTGAAAAATATAAAAATTCAGCCTAGTTGCATGGAAGCAATACTAAGCTACTTTTAGAAAAGCATCATAAGGGCCAACAAGATACATTGTGCTACATAACATTTGTAGGAAGTCAGATTATTGTAGTAACTTCTCAAAGTCACACAAATACAAATTATATTTTAGCAGTTCCAAGGAAAAGCTCAAAAGATATTGACAGTCATTCTGCTGAGCAGCACACAATGTATTTGTAATGCAAATGTAATTATGTATTTTACATAGACACACATCATCTCCAAGATTAAGTTCACACAAACTATGAAGTTCATGTAGTTTATTTACATACTTATGATTTTACTGGCCAAAGGACAAAAAGTAGGATTTCTCAATGGTACTGCACAATTTCAGTGGCAAAGTTGTGATCTCCAGTAGCTTTGTTGTGGGAAGCCCTTCCATTCTATTCCCTTCTCGCTTCCAGAACTGCATGGTGTTTGTAACAAATATCTTATAACAACAAGTAATATACAATTATTATTAAAGGAAAATGCAAAAGCATGTCAAGGAACACAATATAAGCTAGGAATAGCACTGCATCTTTTTTTTACTTCCATTTTTTGTGTGGCAGTCAGAAACATGAATGACAAAGGAAGGCCAAGGCTGTTTGGGGCTGCTCCTTAGCCAAGCTAAGTGCTGTATATCCTGCTCTGGTACAGACAATCACAAGCACAGATACCTCAAGGACAAAGTCAGTTCCAAGAGAAGGTAGGAAATGCAGACTCTATTCTCAGGCTTAAAACTGCTTGTATGACCTTAAATCTGATCCTATCATGCCTCATACTGGCAAGACTTGGACTAATGAAAGCGAAGAAGTTGCATTAAGCAAGCCACAATGCAAAAGAATAAAGCTCATTTGCACAGCATTCTTTCACACTTTCCATCTCCCCAAACTACACATTATTATAACACTATAATAATAATATAATATAATAATATAAAACTACATAATACAAACATTACACTTCAGAAAATTTTTGCTTACCTGCCCAAGTTCCTCATTAAGATTTGAGGTTCTGGCCATTGCAGGTGTGTCAGTTTCAGGATAATACATATCCATGTCCTGAAATGAGAGCAAAATTAGATGTATACTAGGCAAGTTGAACACTAAAGTCTCCAATCTTTTTGTATCTTATAAGAATTGCTCTATCTTTACTGGAAGTTCAAGGGTTAATGCATACTAAGACAAGGAATTTATCTCTTCTACTTGCTGATATTCAGCTCAAGAGGTGTGAATTTTTCCAGTACATAACTGAAGAAATACACAGTTTGAAGTCAGAACTTGCCTGAATAAAAGTATAACCATTTTGTAGCATAAGGCACCACCAACTCATGTCTTTAGAGAAATATCATAAATATCATGACTCATACCAAAGTGGATCTGAATGCCAACCTCAAGACTTAAAAGAAAAAGACACCAAAAAAAACAACCAAGAAACAACCCCTCCCAAAAAAAAACTTAACACCTCACCCAAACAAGTCTAGTCTTTCTGTCTGCTGTGGCTGAGAGAAGCTATAGGTTATCATGAGTAATTCAGCTTAAAGACTTCCCTCATCCTCAAAACCTAAAATACATGAAAGCAATTATTTATACAGAAGAGATCCCTACAACAAAATCTTTTCATTTTTTTTGTGGAACACAGCACTAACACAAAATAAATCCTCTGAATTTTGCCCTGCTCTCAAAACCAGAAATCCTGGTTAAGATATCAGGTTTTTTACATCATCTTGCAAAAGTGATTGCGATACATCAACTGCTGTTACTTACCCAATTTATAAAGAGAGCTTGGGTGAATTTGACAACTTCTAACGTCACCAAAAGACTGATTGGAATAAGGTTGTTGTACAAGATAATAAATGTCAGCAGATTGTACCCGAAGTTGACAGATAGCATTTCTGTGGACGGAAAAACACAAGACAATCATACAGAAGGCAGAAATCTGAGTGGCACAGAATAGGGACAGCCATCTTTCTGTACTTGACCTGATCATCTTTAGTAGTACTAAAATAAATAGTGTGTTAGCTTAGCGTAAGGGTCTTTTTAATATTGATTTGAATATTACATATATAAAAACTCCCACAGAACACATGCCTGAAGATAGAGCACACTATGCCAGGTGAAGCATAAAATCGTTGAGGCTGTGTATTAGAGATAAGAACACTTTCTGAGAATATTTTGCTGAACAGATGGCAAGATGTGTGATATTCCACACTGTAACCCAAAATTAGACATTTATCCAATGTGTCAAATACTCCAATTAAGAGCCACCAATATCACTCATAACATAGCTTTACCCTTCAGAAACTATCCTGTATGTCTCAGTGGAATTAAAAACAAAGAATAAAATTTGTTCTAAAAGCTGCCAGCATTGGCAGACTTGAGAAGTCCTTCATTCTAAAGAAATATGAGCAAGCAAGATGACACAGACATCCGGAGAACAAACTAATTGAATCCTGCTTAGGCAGAAGTGCTGTTAGTAACAGAGCCAATGTTGGGCAAGTCGCCCAAATAGCACAACTGCTCTTAAAGGGAAGGAAAAGCATTTATGAACAGCAGACAGAAAAGAAATGGTTCAGGAAAGACATAGGATAACAGCTCTTCTCCACGGCGCTGACCACATCCTCTCTACAGTAGACATAGTCTCCATGTTTGCATTTTGCACTGTTATTGAATTTTAGGAGGCATTTTGAACAGCAGAGCCCAGTACAATGGGGTCACAGCCCATAACTTAACCTGAGATGAAGGCAGAGCAGCAAACTACGAGGAGACAGAAGCCAAAAAGCTGCCGTTTGGACTCAGTCACCTCCAAGTGTGAACATGCGAGTTTCATACCCCTTATCAGTAAACATGAAGAATGAAAGCACACTTTACTGGAAAAAAAAGCTTTTTCTAATACAACCTTTACAGAAATTTGACATTTAATGAAAATTCCAGATCAAGCCTGACAAAAGTATTTCCCATGTATAATAATTGCAGAGGTGATGGAAACTGTGTGTTCATTTCCAGGAAAGCACCTATAGAAACTACTTTCTCATCCTTGTTTATTACAGGTTGCACCTGTTCCATGTTAGTTCAAGCTCACGAGTTTGTTTCACTCATCTTTCCTTCCTGCCATCTGAAGGCATGAATTTAAACTTCCTCATTAAAAACCAAGGTTGAGGGTACAAAATATAATTTGAGAAATGCCAGTGTTGCTACTAGAAGACAACACTGCAACTACCACAAATTGAAGTCAAGCCTGAGGCACTTCCTGCTCTTCCTACAAAAGCTTTTTTCCTTTTTTTTTTTTTTTTATCATAATTGTGCTTTGTTGTAGAAGGGCTGAAGATACCTTTTGCCATCTGTTTGTACCATCACGAGCAGAAAGACAATTTGCAGTGACAATCATTTTCAGATCTGCATCTCAAAATGTTTTCAACAATACACTTAATAATCAGACAACATAACCCCCAAAACAGAAGTCTAATGAGCAATGATGCATTTCATTCCTAAGTGTTTGCATGAGATTCATTTTTTATATCTGAACTAATAAATTCAAAGAGTACAGATGAAACCAAAAAACCCCTTTAAGCATACTAACCAACCAGTTTTCTCATTACAAATGACAGACATCAGAAGCCAAAGCAACTCAAACGTCACCAAAATCACAAGCACCAAAATCACAAGAGTTAGCATGCACTCCAGTTCTCCACAAAAGATCAGCATGTAGAAAAACAGGGGAAAAAATGCATCAAGACAAATCCTTTTCTTCCAAATAGAAGCAAAAAGCTGAAGTCAGTCCCATCAAGCCAGATACCTTCTATCTTACAGTCACGTACAATCAATTTGTGATACATATGGCAACAATACATGTTCTACTCCAAAAAAAATTCTGTGGAAATCCAGATGCATACAATCTCCACAGAGGTGAACACCAAGTGTGAGCAACAAACACCACTCTTGCCTCTTTTCTGCTTGTTTCCTGCTCCCTAAGTGGAAGCCCAGTGATATTTACCTAACCTTTAAAACATTTTATTAACAGCAGCCTCACTGGCCAATTAACTTAAGCCAGCCTATATGCAAAAACAAACAAACAAAAAAAACCAACCAGCCCAAAAACAAAACAAAAGAATCAAAAGTTAGTAGCAAGCATTGTTTCTTATGTTTCTTTCTTCATCCATTTCTTACTTTGTCAATTCATTTGGCAGAGTTAAGACCCTGGATGTCCATACAGTCTGACACATCCCAACACACAGCCAGTATACTCACTGTTAGAGCCAAGGTACCACACGACTTCGCCATGTGTTCTGTTCCATAATAAGGCACCTACAGAACTCACAAGGGCCATCACCAGGAGAATACAGAACAAAACCAGGATCTGCATGTTGGTTACTTTCTCCACATTTGATCTCTTCAGAGGTGCTTTGGTTGAATTCTGAACAGCAACAGAAGCAATCAGGTAATGGCTTATACCAATAGTTGCAGAAGCAAATTCATTCTTCATTTTTAAGTCAGTTATAGAACTTAATACTTCAGCTCTATGTAGATCAATTTTGTATACAAAGACCAGAAAGGTCAGAATAGTAGCCAGGGCTCCATACAACAGCTAAACTGACAAAATATTGGAGGAAGAGAAACATGCAGTACTAAAGATCTCATAGATTCTCCTAGCTGCCCATTGCTCCCAATGGCCATCAGCAAAGATGAGCAGAAAAAGCACTCCAAGCTCCCTGCCATTAAGACAAAGAAAAAACTTAGTCTTAACCTGTCTATCTTCAAGTGTTAAAACAGTAGGCAGCCATTATCATTTCTTCAGCTGCTAAAGCTCAGTTTTAAATGAGCCAGTAGACAATCTAAAAAATAGAATATAATTAATTTTGGTTGCATATCAAGTATTTTAGATATACACCTCCATTAGTTTTTGTACATATACAATTTTAAGTACAGTAGTATCCTTGCACTCCTCATGCTTCTACTTAAACAGCTATAATGAATCAAACCATTTCACGAACTCCAATATGAAAGACAAGTTGAACGCAGAAAAAGAACACACTCCAAATCTTTAAAAACTTACCTGCATGAGTTTTGTATCAAATCCTGTATACACAACAATACCCAACACCCATTGAGTGTTTCTCAGTTGTGCACCTCTTAGCAAGATCTGGTCTGGACCAACTGGAACTGGGCTGCAAAGCAAGAAGCAAGCAAGCATCTCTCAATTCTCAATAATGATTTAGGAAAACAGTTCTCCTTTCAGCTTTAGCTTCCTCCCAGCTCAAGAAAGAAGGGGAAGCATTTTCCCTTATCAACTTATATTGTCCACCATCATATAATTATACATACAATATATAGGTTTCACTCCTCTGTTGAAAGCCTAATCTATGCTAAGCAGAGCAGGAAGAAGTTGATTCTAGGGAGCACCTCTAGTTTCCCAGCACTTGAGAACCTGTGGCAGCTCTCTTTCTCTTTCATATCCAAGACAAGGAAGCATCACACTTGCAAACAGACTGTCCACTCAAAGCATGCTATAACTGTATACACATCATTAAAGAAGCATTTTGGAAGAGATGCATTACCCATGTGATTTTTCAAGTAATATGCAAGTGATCTTTTACTCTTCTCGCATCTGTCACTATTCTGCTTAGTCACTCAAGTAGTACAGTTTTGGTGCAAGGAAACCTGTACAGTAAGATGAAACCTGTACACTCCTGCTGACGCTTCAGGTTCTATTATTTATAGTCCTAAAATCTATTTTCTCAGAATTTCTTTCCTTTCAAGAGTTGCAACAGATCCAAGTCATACTGACAGAAACTCCAGATTCTGGAATCATTTTCAATATGGAACTGAGCTTGCTTCAGCTTTAGCTCCTGTCAGAAGATAAAGTTTTCCAGTATCCTCTGCACATCTCCTGTTGCAAGACAATCCTAAAAATAAAACCATTTCCTTTGCTCCTCCCAAAGTATCACTTTAGGTAAAGAACAACTATGATTTCAAAGAAGCCATGTCTCCCCTAGCAAACAGAAGACTCCACAGAAAGGCAAACCTACTCCATCTAAAAACAGATATACGATCAGTGTTGCAGAAGAAAAGCCTGCAGAAAGCATTTGTCATAACCAAAGGAGTCTACGACTGTTATCAAGCTGATACCTTTGACCATCTAAGCGTAAGGTTCCAGTGAAGTCATAGAGATGACGGTTTGGTCCTTCACATTCTATCCTTCCAGATACTTTCATCAATTCTTCTTTTGACTGGAGACTAGCAGTCTGAGACAACCCCTGCAGAGACCAAACCAAAGGAGATTCTTGTCAAAAACTGTTAGAAGGCAAGAAGATAGGAAAAGTTACTTTCTTCTAATATTTTATAATTAAAAATTTGCTTGAATGTTTTGTTGTTCTTCCTCATTTTGTGTTTTTATTTTCAGATGAGTATTCCCTAACTTTCCTGCAATATTTAATTATTACAGGCACATGTGAGGCTGCTTACAGAGATTGCCTTACATCCCTCCTACACAGAAAGCCTAAACAATCTCTCTGACCAAGAGAATCACATAAAATTCATATCCATAAACCATTAAGTTACACATGTGCAGGATGAAGTAGGAAACAAAGAGCCTAAAGAGGCCTGGCTTTTCTCTCAAAGTACAGCTCTGCTGATGTATTGCTGCTGTTAAATGTAGTCACCCTTAAGTGTAGACTCTTATAGGTCAGTACATGCATTATGCTCTGACTGAACTCAAGGTTAATTTTCAATCCATTATGAAGCTGTAATCTAACATATTGCCACTCCACCTCAAGGATTGCACACACAATATTCCGTTGCTTTTCAACTCTGAATGCCTCCACTTGGTTAAGAGTGATTCCATTTTAGTTTCTTTTGCCAGATTGACCACAGTACTGCAAGCCAGAACAAATCTTTAAGAGAAGTTCCCCCCCCGATCAGTTGGTTTTTGTTTGTTTTTAATACTGCCTTTTAAGCATGTGTCCAGAAGCAAATAAAATCTGACAGGAAAGTGTGATCTGATCTACTGGGTTCTCAGAACAGGAAGCCATACTTTCACAAGTGTATAGCTTTTAAAATGCATATAGATATATATATATTTAAATAGCATATATATATATATTTAAAGGGGAGCTCTGCGGAAAGGGACCTGGGTGTCCTGGTGGACGACAGGTTGGCCATGAGCCAGCAGTGTGCCCTTGTGGCCAAGAGGGCCAATGGCATCCTGGGGTGCATTAAACAGAGCGTGGCCAGCAGGTCAAAGGAGGTGATCCTCCCCCTCTACTCTGCCCTGGTAAGACCTCATCTGGAGTACTGCGTCCAGTTCTGGGCTCCCCAGTACAAAAAAGACAGGGATCTCTTGGAAAGAGTCCAGCGGAGGGCCACGAAGATGGTGAAGGGCCTGGAGCATCTCCCCTATGAGGAAAGGCTGAGTGAACTGGGTCTGTTCAGCCTTGAAAAAAGGAGACTGAGAGGGGACCTGATCCAGGTCTATAAATATCTAAGGTGTGGGGGGCAGAATGGCGAGGCCGGACTCTTTTCAGTGGTGAGTGGAGACAGGACAAGGGGAAACGGCCGGAAACTGCAGCATAGGAAGTTCCGCACAAACATGCGCAAGAACTTCTTTACAGTGAGATGACGGAGCACTGGAACAGGCTGCCCAGGGAGGTGGTGGAGTCTCCTTCTCTGGAGATGTTCAAGACCTGCCTGGATGCCTACCTGTGCGACCTGCTGTAGGGAACCTGCTTTGGCAGGGGGGTTGGACTCGATGATCTCTGGAGGTCCCTTCCAACCCCTACAATTCTGTGATTCTGTGATTCTATGTACACATAATTTTGAAATACTGATATAATCAAACTCATTTTTTGTAACTCTCTCGGAAAGAAGACAAGGATTCTCAACTGTTTCTAAACACCATGATGAATAGGATTTTGCCAGCAAAACTAGAAATATCTGACCAAACTCCATTACATACCACAAACAGGGAACAAATTAACTGAAGCATAATGAAAAGCTCCTTTGAGCACTCCAGAGGGAGAAGTAACAGAGTGGTGTATGTGACAGCAGAGACTGTAGCTGTGACCACAAGCACAAGCATTTTTCATGTTTTTAATAATAAAACCAGCACTTGAGTACTTGAATCCTGCTTATTCTTTGGAAGCACAGTGTACCAACACAGCTTCTTGATAAAATTCTTTTTACTAAAATACTAAGAAATGTTTGGGTTTCCCAATATTAGCAAAAAGTTGTTTGATAAAAATTCATCCATCAATGGGCATAAATTGCTTAGATTTTCACCTCCAGTTTGAGGACTAGTGCTGTTACTTCACTTTTAGTACAGAGGATTTTAGATACCTTCCCCAAAATAAAGAAAAGTTAAAAGAAAAAAATTTCACTCAAAAAAAAAAAGTTTTTGTTTTCAAGAAGTGCTTTTACAGAAAAACTCCACCCTTAGGCAAAATTTTATCATCATTTAGGGAAAACAAGAGGCACAAATAGATGAAAAAGATGAAAATAGATGAAAATTCACCACTGCTGGAAAGTCTATTATTCCAAAAGCTATCCCAACAGATCCCACTTATCATTTTTTAGTTTTTAATTATAGTTCTGTATCTTCCAAATATAAATGCAAGACCTACAATTATTTCTCAGTACAAACCATATGCCAGAAAAACCATGTCAGACTTGTCCCAACCACAACGTCATATACATTTAAGAGTGACACCTCAACACCTTCTCAATATTAGTGCTACGCTCAATTCAGCAAGGCAGAGTCAAAACCTATTTCAAGTGTTTCACACGAGTCAGGTTAAAGTTAATGCTATCATAACTGGCAGGAAAACTGGTCGAAGCACCCCCTGGACCTCAAGCAAAATACCATCAAGGTCTACTGGATTTACCTTTGCAAACTTATAACCTCCCTGTTTCCTTCAGATTAGCTCCTTAGACTTGTACACAAACCATTGCTTGGGTTCCTATCTGTTGAATAAAAAGGCTTACTGTAACCTGGAAAGAGATGCATATTTTGTTTATTTGTCTTGTTTTTATACAGCACTAGTACAGCTGTCATACAGCCCACAGTCTGCTTAGTAGATAGCACTACACATGTAGAGGAAAAATATGGCAAAATTCAGTTTGTTTTACCTGTCGTATTTTAAGATTCGTCTCCCCATCAAGATTAGCTGTTTCAATATAGCACATGGCTTGAGGTTCACTGTAAGGAATATGACAAGATTTTAGATACTAAAAACAAGTTTCTTTTTATGCACTACATTTGCGTTAAGTTGTCCACAATACATGTCTTCAATAAACTGAAGAGAAAAATCACATAGGTGGTCCACAACAACGAAAGAACCAGTTGAAAGTACATATCCCTGAATGCTCTTATGCAAAACTATCCAAAAAGACAGGACTAAGTCAGGTTTAATAAGTATTTAATATAATTAATTTAGATTCCTGAATTTGATATTATACATTGCAGTCCACAAAAATCACCTGAGATTGCAAGAGCTGTGCATAGATGAAGTAGCAAACAGTGTAAGAGGATGCACTTAGAAGAAGAGAGCAGTGCTCGCTGCTACTGACTTTGTGAACCATGCATACTAATGTTGTGATCCACAGGACCAACTTGTATGCCCAGAAGTTATTCAACTGAATCTGAAAACACTGCTAAGCACAAAGTGCTCCCCACTTTGTAAGGAATCAGGGTTTGACGAGACTGAAACTGAGGGCTGTGATTTGCATCTTCTAGAGTTGCTTTTGCCTTTACCTAAAAGGGCAAAAATTCTTCCTTGTAGGTGCAAGCATTTTCAATCAGTAAAGGTCTTTCCTATATCTAAATGGAACAGTGTGCATAAGCACCTGCAATAAGGAAACATAGTTCTATCAGAGATTACTTCCTGACATGCTGCTTAAGATTTAAAAGCTCTATATGGCACCACCAAAACTGTTTTCATCACTGGCTTCTCAGGTTGTTAGGGAACATCAGTTTCCCCTCTGGACCTAAATCACATACGTCTCCAGTCTATCACTTTTCTTACTCTTGAGATGTTACTATTTGCTTTCCAAAACAAACAATTACTTAAACTGTAAATGTACTTAATCAGCAGGAGTCAGTAACAAATGCTGTTTAGGAAAAGCTTTGTTACAAAACAGGCACATATATAACAGTAAGAAGATGTTTCTCTCCATTAATTATTTCTTCAAGAAGAAAGGTGCAGCATTTGTTCTTTCTCTCCTCCTATGTGGGCAAACTGAGTCCAAACTCAATAAAGTCACAGTGCATTTTCAATTCAACTCCAATTTTACTTGTTAGAAATACTTTGCCCACTACAGCTGAGGTTGTTAACTCAGGGAGAACTCTTAAAACTCTTAAAATGCAGTTCCTTGTAAATGTACATTTTCACAGCAATGTAAAAATGTTTCCATACAAAGCTGTGTTTGGATTCAAATTACTTTTTATTTTTCCTCCATGAAAACTTATTCTGTATGCAAACTTCATTTTATGTCACCTTTCTCCTATGAGGCAAAGCAAGAAGGAGATAAACAATTGCTTATTTCAACTCTGACAATCAGTTCAGACAAAAATATTAACACATTAACACAAAGCAAAAAATCCCACTCATTCAGAGCATGCAAAGCCTTCTGGTGAACTGAGGACACTTAGCATTGTCATTCAGAAAATTATGAAAATAATACCAATTGTACAGCGTTCACTATGGCAGTTCTGCTACTTATTTCAAGCAAAGTTTCTCCTAAAATTCAAATACTTTGGCTCTAATTCTTCAGTTACATGATTAGCAGTGACAGCAGGTTAGTAGAATAATAGATCAAAAAGCTGACCCATGCAAGTTAAGGCATAAATCAGAAAGATTTTTGGTTGTTTTTTAGTATAGTATGATAAGAAGTTCAAACAGAACAAGTACTTCTCAACACCAAAACAGAAAGTTACTGAGAGTAGCCTAACTAACTGCATGTGAAGGTTGAAAACTGTTTATTGTAAAAAATAGTGTTGTTTCAAAAATACATTGTAAACCATGGAATGAAGGTGCCTCTATCCTTGATCACATAACATAGTTTGAAGAGATTGAGCTTCCCATTTCTGAGTACCAGTGAAATACTTCTATGAACTACCAGCCTTCATTTTCCACTGTATCATAAAAGTTGTGCTGTCTCCCACAAGGGAAAAGGAATGGTATTCAGTTTACTGCTGCTGCCATACTAGAGATAATTCAACACAGGTTTGTGTTCAGTAACCTAAAGGCAATGAGCACATGAACAAAGCCCAAAACCTATGCTGCAGGCTAGCAACTTAAAAGCCATTTGGGCTAGCCTTCTGAAATTACTGTTTGAAAAGCTTTAGAAGAAATCTTTGAGTGGCAGGAAAATATGCTGGAAGTTCAGCGGAATTATGTGGAAGAAAACTTAAGCTTCCTTGATTAAATGAAGGGGGTCCACAAAAAGCCAAGAAACAAATGGCTGCATCAAGCTTGTGCAACACATCTTCCATCTTCAAAACCCAGTGACAAACTTTGTACACTACAAACACACAATACTACCAAAGTCTTAAAGAAGCCTTCTTTCTTATGAACTATCAGCATTGCTAAAAAAAAATCACTGCCTGGTAAAGCAAGCTTTAACATTGCTGAAATCTTATTTTAAGATGTGGAGAAAATGTAGTGTCATCTGATGTCTGTTTATATTAATAGTAAATACAGAGTTTAGAGTCCTCTGCACCTCAGTTCATCAGACACTTCCACACCCAAACAGGATACCTGGAAGATATAATGATCATGTCTGCTGGAAGATGTTGCCCATTGGTGACCTTCACAATATCGCCTACTGCTACCTGTTGAATCAGGGGCAGGGGTGCAGTAGCATGGAAGAGAAAAACAAACAGTTTGCTTGTCTGCAATGTTAGTTTGTTATTGTCCTTCACCCAACAGAACATAATCATGCACAAAACAACTACAGATAGTGCTACTGAAAGTCAGAGTACTTTTCACTGCAAGATTATAGATCCAGTATCAAAGCTTCCTGTTTCTTGAAGGCAAAATAAGCTATATATATACACACATACATACATATATATTTGTCTGTACAGAATACATAATAGGAAAGTATGAAATTGTGCAGCAACTTTTAGTAGAAGTGATTTTCTTCTATAATTCAGCTGTTACCCGTATCTGAATTATTTTTTTTTCATTTAAGTACAGTCTAATCTAACCTACAGAAAGGTCTTCCCTGGTTAAAAAGTACCTTTGATACTTGAAGAAGATCAAATTCCATAAGAGTGAGTTTTTTAATTTTTTTTCTCCATATTACTTACCCACTCAGTCATCATTACCTTTCCTTAACACTGTATAGATGCACTGATTCTAACAGTCACTAACAAGATTTGTCTCTACAGATGGACAGCAATCAACCAGTTCTTTTGTGACCTACAGTGACTTGAGATTCGCAAAGTCATAACTTCTGGAGTACTGAAGACCTAAGAGTTTCCAGTAGCTGTTACAGGAATTGCATATACTCTGTCTTTCTACAAAACTCCATGCAACTCTCTCAAGACAGTGAGCCAGAACTGCCTAACGTATATCAGTTTTGAGCATCCCATGTACTGCTTACAGCCCAAAACGTGCTTCAAATAATTGAACATACGAATTTATTACAAATGAAACAGATGGCATGATTGAACAGGCAGATTCATTAGCCTTATTTGGATCCCACTGAAAACAAATTCCCTTGCTTTGTAAGCTCAAGTATCAGAAATCTGTCTTAAAGTAAATACATTGATAGCACTGTTATTCCCTAACAACATATGCAAGCATAGACAATATGCAAATGCAAGATACAGACCAATTGAAGAAATATTTGAGAAGACAACGGGTATAAGAAAAAAAATAGATTCCAGGCTCAGCTTCAAATCTTATATTTGAGTTCATTGTCTTCACTTCAAACAGGACGTGGAACAGCATAAATAACCATAACCAAGAGGCCTCAGAATCCCCAGAGATCTTTAGTTTCTGCTGTAATCTAGCACTTCAGCAGGATTGCATTTAGGTCTCCTGAGGTAAGTCTCATTTCTCTGAGTTTACAGAAGACTGTAGTTCACCTTCATCTATTAGTTAACAGAACTCATTTTGTCTTTAAGAGGAGTTAACAGCCAAAATTACATCACTGCATGCTGAGGGACTTTAGAAAGTTCTATAAATAAATCTCAGCTTGTCCCAGAAGTTTCAATACAACCTGCATTCAAGTGTGCTGAAGGTGGCAGCAGGTCTTGTGTTCCATACTTAAATAAAAAATTAGCCTCAAAACATGAGAACTTTTTAGCACAGGGACAAAAATACGTAAGAGGAGTGTTGCAGTGAAAGTGACTTTTCTAGACATGGACTGAAAAGAGAATACTATTTATACACCACAGCATATTAACTGTCAAGCAAGAATACAACAGTTTTTTGCAACATTTGGTTGAAACATAGTACTAAGCAATAAAGATCAGCATGTAGAGGCTTTGCTCAGGGTAATCTTCACCATTACAGCAGAAAGGACCCCTCCCACCTTAAGTCACAGGGCACCCATAGGACATATTAACTCTAGGCCTCCCTCTTTGTTCAAGCAAGAAAAACTCTTGAACAATTTCTCCACTCTCTACCCCATCCCTAATTATATTTACCTCTTTCCACACAATGTCCTGCCACATCCCATTTCTTAGAACTGAAAAGAAAATGTAAACTTAGATCAGAATAAATACGCAAGAACCAGACAAATTTTGAAACAATTATCAGCACAGAACATGGTCTGTTCCCTACATCGAATGTAGTCTCTACACACTGGCTCCAAGCCTAACACACTTCAGCTCCTAGCGTAGTTGCACATGCTCACTTGAACAACTTTCAGTTGGGTTTCTTCCAAAGGCAATTTAATTCATATATACCAAACTCACTCTGTAAACCAAGTTAACATACTCTATGGGAAACTGAAAACAGGAAACATGTTTTGAAGCCACACAATAAAGATCAAAAGCTAAACAGAGATAAATACAAAGTCTATATGTATGTTAATGAAGCAAGCATCTGGTCACTACAGGTGGAATTCAAACATAGTTAAGCAGACAGTGGATGTCTGCTTGAGGGTAAGCACAACTGCTCTCTATTCTGATGACATGGTCTAGACCTCACTCACCTGTACGAGGAGTGAGGAGTCTAGGTATCTAAAAGCACATACAGAACCTAAGTTTAAAATGCCTTAATTCCACTCTGAACATAAATAAGCTTTTCATACTTATAATGCATTTTTTCACTCTTATGACACTCTCATAAATGTGCCTTTCTAACCTTTCTCTTAAAAAAAAATGATGACAGTTTCAGGCAGTATATTCTGAAAACTGTATTTAGAATACAGAAGCAAAAAATACAAGTTGAACTACACCAAAACAATTGCTTTTCAATTGCTATGTTCCAGTTAGATCCATAAGAGTATCTTGTGTTCTTTAGGCTATCTCTCCCCAATTACTATGATAAGCTTCCTCTTAAGTGTTTGTTAGTGCATGTTCTCTATCCATAAATGGATGAGACTGAACTGCCTACATGACCTTGGAAAGAGCAGCCTCTAATGTTATCTATAGAAAGTTCTGTTGTACTACAGCTAGACAACTGCAGGTTTCTCAGGATTAATAATTGCACCTGCAACATCTTCTCAAACTTGCAGGAAAAAAATACCTTAAAGAACTGATAAAGCAAAGCTTTCTTTGATGTTCATTAATATACAACCTCAATGACCAATGTAACCGCTCAAGCACTAAGGAAAAACACACTGAAAATATTCCTGCATATATTTTGCATGTTAACTGAAGCATGGATCTAGCATGTTGTTTTGATCCTCATGTTCCACTAAGTGTTTCTTTAGCTTTTTGACACTTAAACTACATATAGAATCATAGCAACAGAATCATTTATGCTGGAAAAGCTTCTTAAGGTCACCAAGTCCAGCTACTTTGGAAGAAAGATGCTCTACTGAAAGTCAAGTTGCTTTGTTTTCGGTTTCACCTATAGAGCTCCACCGTGGAATGTCTGAGAACACCAAGATCCAGTGATTGCAGAGTGGCTGTGGGGTAGCAATCAATAAATCCTTACTATTTTCTGCACAACTTTTCAGTTAAGGGAAAAGAAAATCAAAATGATGTCTTGAGGTAATCAGTGTCAAGCAGTTTCAAAACATTAGGGGTAAACATAGGCATTTATGGGAAGTCTGTTATTCTTTTCTTTTGCTGACACCTCAAAGAAAGCACATCCACAGAATACCCAGAGTTCTTCCTATATTTTAAGGGCAGCACATACATACATATATATATATATATATATATATCCTTTGATACAAGTTTTATAGCCTTGGTGGATTTTGAACAGTCAAGGAAGTATTCTGGAGGAGGAGAAAACTGCTCTGTTTTCATGGAGGAGCTGAGATCTGCGTGACTTCAAACAGCTCTGAAATTAAACCAGCTTTTAAATTCTAAAAGCTTACCCCTAACCTCTCACCCCAGGCATCACACAATCAGCATCAAACATTTTGTAAGGTGCAGTCCTGACACACCAGTAACTTCTGACTCCAAAAAGACATGTACTTGCCACCATAATGACAGTTTCAGTAACACAAGTCTATATAATAAAAAAAAGTACTCTTGTATTCACTATTTGCGCTTCAAATATTTAAGATTCTTTATTCTTACCTACTGCTTTCTTTTTGTTCACTGCACTGTCTGCCTTATGTCTTTTCTGCAAGAAAAATATTTTTCATTACAGCTCATTTCATGGAGGATTCCAAACACATTAAAGCTAGAAACATGACATGCCACAAGAAGATACATTGGGTCTTTCTTGCCTGTATGCTTTGAAAAAAGCCACACTGATCACCTAAATCTAAATGGTTTACAAACAAAATAATACAACTTTAATGCACCACTCTCCATGCTGGCAATCAGACACAAACATGGATCAACAGCAGAAAACTCAAGTATCCAAAATTGTTTTTTGAAAGGAAAACAAAGGGAACAGAAAGCAATAGTATATTTAGATGACAGTTGGAGTATACATGTTATACGTACTGTGTGTTTAAAATGTTTTCAAAGTTAAATTATTAATCAGAACCTTGCAAAGTATAAACACGTTGTCATTATAAACAGTATCCAGATTTTCTTTTGGTCTGCCCTGAAGATAATTTTACACTTTTAATGATTTTGATCTCCTAGACCTACTAAAAAGGCTACATATATGTCAGGACTCTACAGTTCCTGTTCTAGCCAGGCTTTCCTAATGAAAGCACCAGTAGATAAACTTGAATAAGTATAAATAAGTGTTCTGTTTTACACCAACTTGTTTCCATACAACTTCTTTGTTCACCATTTAAGCTGTACCAGAAAATTATTTACTTATCTCTGTGTGCTACAGAAATTCCTGTAGAGTCAGCATCTTTGAAAGTATTTAGCCACTGCTCAGTAATGGCTAAATAGACTTCAGAGATGCAAAGCTTTATGGCATCTCATGGCTTTTTGAAGCACCATTTGTTTTTAGTGTAGATTTCCCACATAATAATTCATACTCACATAGTCTTCTATGATTTCTTTGATGCCAGCAACTGTCAAAATAAATAGCAATGGCACCAAGGTGGTATATCTTCCTGTTGGAGAGACATCTGGAATTTGCTGTAAACAGAAAGGAAAAGAGATGCTCATATTATTTTTAAAATAAGTTTCTAGAAAGTCTAGCATTTTATGCAAAGTTACCAGCAGAAAAAGAGGTAGAGCTTAAATTCTGATTTGTACATGACTGCCATTTAAGTTCAGCAGACACACCAGCCTAAGCTCCCAACCAACTTGAAGAAGCTACTGCTATGAATGTATATGATTATGCTGCTGTACAGGCCTTTTCTTTTACTTCTTCTTAATAAGAAAAGCATTCAGCTGATGAATGCCACTGATTCAGGGTGAGTATCTGTACTATTAAAAATATCGGCACATTCACAAGAATCTATGCATGTTTTTCCCAATATGGTCAGTAGTTCCATATCTTGTGATATACTGTATTAATAATATAACTAGCTTGATTTTAGGAATTATGTTGGAAAAAAAAACAGCTCAAATACCCTCTAATTTCAATTGTTAAGTACATATCTCATCAATGTTACTACTTAACGTACATTCGAAAACTTTTTTGCAGTCGACCACGAACATTCAAATAACTGTAGCTGCATTCAGTTATTTAATAAATGAAAGTAAAACAATGAAACTATACCTGCAGTAAGGCAATGAAGAGGAAGAATGCATTTGCAGCTTTTCTTATCTGCTCATACAGGAATCGAGGTAGAAAAGTCACCACACTGTACTTGGCTGTGCTGTAGGTTAGAAGATTTTTATTTTAATCCTTCATCTGAACATTAAGGCTTCTAAAGCCACTGTTAGAAAATGATTTGAAGATCATACAGTAAAGACATGTACAATATGAAGGAATTCAGCTATCTGTATTACAATGAAGAGCCGTACAGAACAAGAGGTAACACACAGATCCAAAAGGCAGACAGCAATACATCACTACAACCTCAACGACTAGGAGAACCACCCTATAACTTGATGTGTGTTCAAACCCCAGTACCATGAGCAGCAGCAATATGAGCTCAGGTTAAAGCATGTAAGTGTTTACCCCTCAAGGGGTAAACACATAGTATTTAAGATTCACAGAGCATGAATCTTAAATACTGGGGTAGGCTGACTTAAACACAGTTAGAATCAGAAATGGTACAGTGACATTTTTGAGCTGCCTCCTCTCCTAGCTCAGAACCCAAGTTCAGTTATGAACAATTTTCCATAATAACCATCCACAGTTTCACAATAATGCTTTCTATTTTCTACAAACACTAACTGATCTCTAAGATACATAATTTCTTGTTTTCACATCAAATCCAGCAATGGCTATTATGAAAAATGTGAATGCATTTTCAGGAAAGGTGTCTAAGCTGACAAGAAGATTCAGTCACACAATTGTCAATGAGTTATATAAGCCACCTTCAAGTTGTCAAGTAACCAAAACCAGCTCAAGAGAGTAAGACTACTACATGCAAACGTACACTCTGAACATAATATTGACATTGGGGATATATGTGCTTTCTTGATATAGGTTCAGATGCACGAGTTCTCTCGCACTATTTGAGCAGTATGAGAGGCACAGTTTATCCAAGTAGCACACAACATTCCCTTATATGAAAAGAATAATTTTTACAGTTAAAAAAGCAGCTCTGATTTATTTTGTACTGTATTACTTCCCTCATTTATGCACTGGGCATTAAAATGAGCTGGAACCTTAAGAACCAAGTGCTTGCAGCCATGGTACAGCTGTCTTCCACCAAGACACTGACTGTAAGCCCTGCAAGAATCAGACGAACTATACTAAATGTCCTTTGGGTTTATATTTTATTATTTTAACAAAGGCAGCTTATGTTCCCAGAGAATAGACAGCTCATCAGTGCTCCTCCTTTCAAAGAAAGGAAACTCGTTTACCTGCTGGAATGGGCTGCCTAGGGAAGTGGTGGAGTCACTATCCCTGGAGGTATTCAAGAAATGTTTAGATGTTGCAATGAGGGAGATGGCTTAGTGGGAAACATTGGTGACAGGTGGATGGTTGGACTGGATGACCTTAGAGGTATTCTCCCAAGTCTATTAAGCCCGTTCCTCTCTGAGAAATGTTTTTCCAGTTATCTTCCACCTTTAAGGCTTTCAGACTAATTGCAAGCCACAACACTATGTATCACAAATCATGAAATAATAAAATAAAATGCACTGCCTACCTGTTCTGTCTTTCACAACTGATTGCTATGAACAAAATTCTTACTACAACTTTGACCAGACAATTTAGTAGGGTTGTCTTAGTTATCTTCATACATATAAGGTTAGATAACTGCACTCTCCATGTTTTAATCATTTTCTTCTCCCTCTTGTCTTTCCTCGTCTGCACTTCTAAGCCATATAATGACTGCTGCACCTTCTGGAACAAAACAGTTATAAGAGGTAAGATAGCACAGTTTGTTACATGAAGCTCCATTTTGGAAACCAGAGGAGAATTAGTGCAGGTGTGATGAAATACAACCAATCAAGGTTACATCTTATTTGACTGCGGGAGATGTATTTCCATTTCATACAGTCCCTTTGTTAAGCAATTAGAGATGCCTGCTAGGTCTGATGCAAAGCAGTTATTACTTGAACTGGATCTCTAAAAAGAAATGGGGAAGAAGAAAGAAAAAAGACTGTAAGAACATTTCTAAAACTACAGGGTATAGACTCCTTTTGCTACTACTCAATACTCAATACCCAAAGTGATATTTTACAGAAATATCAGGGGATCAGGCTTCCACACAGCTTACACCAACAAAACCAACTGAACAAAAACACACATCTGCATTTAAAAGATTAAGTAGAACATTTGTTGTATAAATGAAGAGAATTTATTTCCTTGAATGCTATTTATTACTTCCAAGTTGTTTTTTCCTTCATTAGAAGTTACATGCACATAATCTCAAGTGTAATATCTTTCCTATAATACAGAACATAATTAAACAAATTTCAGCAGTGCCTTGCATCTTTAACACATTTTTTAATCAAGTGAATAGTTCAGATCTACACCAGATGTGAATCCCCCAAGCAGGACTAAAGAAAAAAATAACAATAATAAGAGTTTGCAGATTTCAAAGATACATTACAACTACATATAATGCTCTACAGGCCACCAAGCTAGTGGAACAGAATAATGTAATGCTGGAACACATTTTTATTTCTAGATTGTATGCTCATAGGATTTATGATTGATAAGAGCCAGAACTCATGCAATTGTAATCATATCAAAACATTTATAACATTCTACCATTTATCAACTTCTGCAGCTGACTGCTCCAAACCATGCTCTTATTCTAATGATTATGCTAACATCAACACAACGAGTCATTTTTGAGTGAACTTGATATGCATGAAATCCTTATATCCATGGACTTTGTTACTTAAGTAACATGGCAGATGCTTAGAATAAAATAGGTATGACTAATTAGAGGTACACATTCAGCTGTTACCAGCTCATTTGGAGCACATTTTTGGTCACTAAGGACAAGTATACAGAAGTTAGCCCTTTGACCAGCCCCAACACTGCAGCTCTGGCAGCTGGGTGCCAGGCACTACAGGTCTGCAGCTCAGGGTGAGGAGTGGAGCATATGCAGAAAACTAAATAACAGACCAGCATTTCCTAAAGCAACAGTTGTGTACTACGCACACCTTGCCTACCTATGGGGTTTCATGCTTAAACAGGTGTACAAACATTACAACAGATTTGTCTCCTTGATATCTGCAACTTAATTCATGTAAGTTATGTTTCAAGTTACACTGCAGAGCAAAGTGGGACTGACGCTGTTGAACGAGTTTGGACACACATCAGTAGAGCTCGAAGTCCAGCCCTGCTCCCTGGCAGAAACGCAGAGATTTCTTTTAAAGGCAACCATTGTATAATTTGGAAAAATGTATGTCCCTCACATACCTGCTACTAAAAAAATACCAGAGATGAGTTTTTTCTTATAACATCTACACAAAAAGTAGCAAGCAGCAAGCTGAGAAACTCATTAACTGTGTTCTGATATATTTACTTCACTTATTAATTAATAATTATTAATTAATAATTTTTCTGTAACAACACCATAAGCTACCATTATCCCTATATCCATCCCCAATACATTTCATAAAGCCATGTTTTCCCATGTTTTTTCTATGAATCACCCTTGAAGATACAAAGACTACCAGTAATAAAGGCAAAAAAGTTAGAAGCAAGTGCATACTGGCAAGAGGCATTTGAATACAGCTTTACCATTTCTAAATCACCCATTTCTACTCCTTCACTGAGGTGGGGCTTTGTTTTGTTTGTTAACAGCACAGATATTAACTTCACCTTGCAACTCCTCATGTCATAGAGAACAAGATCTCTTTGAGGCACAGGTGGTCCTGTTTCCAGAGTGACAAGGTAACAGTACTTCCCTCACCAGCACTCACCTACAACTGTCCCTTCCACAGTTTAAAAACAAAAACCTTGAAATATTCTCGCATGCGAGAGCTGAAGCACGAGCACTGCTTCATGTCAGTGCTTTTGTAAGTCTGCAAGAGCAAGCAGAAAGAGAGCCAGTCACAGACATCTGAACCACGGGGGGGCTGGGTAATTGAGCGTTAAGGACTTGAACTCCTCTCACGAGCAGGTTTGGTTTCCACTAACACGTTCAAAAGGTCAGGTTCTCTGGAACAGCGGAAGGAAAAATCAATCAAGAAGATCTACTTGAATTAAGGGTTCAGACACTGCCTTCAGTGGAACTGCGTGTGCATGTTAAGGTCCTGGAGGCACATGACATCTCTTAACAGCAAGATTGATGTTGGCTACAAAAGTTCTGCATCAGCTCTTAAGTACAGAAGCAGCACTAAAACAAGCTAACTCCAGAGCTGTTACTGCTGCAGGAAGCACAGCAGCAAGCACTATGTAATCCAGATGACATTTAACTAGATGAACAACACACAGTTATTACAGCAGGTGCAGAGAAAGCTCACTCACACAGAACCCCACCAACAAACAGTGCTGCCATGAAGACTATTAGCTAGGTTGGTTCCTTGTGCGTGTGGAAGGTTATTTTAATGATGAAACTGACACAGGAGACATAAAAGTCAGATGTTTACAAATTCCCGAAAAGGGAGATGTAAGATTTATAAAGAGCAATTACCTACAAGTCTCTGCAGTGATTATTGCTGAAAAGGAAATGAGGTCCTCAGCAAGCCATGCTGGCTTGTTTTGGCAGACAGCAGTTTCAGTTTGAACAAATGAAGCCTCCAGTCTCATGGAGCTCCCTTCACTCTGTCAAGTGAATCCTTGAGAATAGAACTTCCATCAGTAATCCTGTATACTTCCATCAGCTGAGGAAAGGGCATGCTGTGCTTCAGTACTTGAGACAGTTTGAGACAGTCTCTGAAGGAAGTCTGAGACAGGCTCAGGAACAAAAGAGGGAAAATAATAGCAGCCCTGGAGTGCAAGGCTTGGATCCTAAGGGCTGTGATTGCTCCAGGCTGAGTTGCCTGACCAGAGCAAGGCAAAGAACCAAAAGCTACCACGTCCATCACTCAGATGTGGAGACAACACTGCCCATCTGACATCTTGCACAAAAGCAGCTTATATTATATACTGCCCCAAAATAAAAAGGGTCACAACTTTGTTATAGCAATGTTTTATCCAGCCATCTAAACATCAAGCTCTGAAACATCTTCCAACAAAACCACTGCAAGGCCATTTAAGAGGGATGAATCTGCTGTCTTGAATTACCCATATATTATG